CTGGACGAGGCTAAAGACGGCCATATCGACAACATAAGAATGGGTGGTCTCATGACGGGCATGGTCAACAACATCTACGATTCCGAGCCTGTCAATGATATTATGGTAAGACTCCGGCGCTAAAGGCTTACCCGGTTTAATAGTTTCCTAATTATTTATTATTTGAGGTCCGATTATAAGACCGTGTCGCTCTATGACCTGATATTTTATACTGAATACAAATTATTTCTATTTCATAATGAATATAAGCATTTACACCAAATTATCGAATACATGAAATAATAACGAAAGCTTTCTTTAACTTATATATTTTTACGATTTAATACAAAGACTGGAGTTCACCCAAAGAATACGTGAAGACCTTGGAGCCCTCAAAGAGCCCTTACCTGGCGAGTCAAGCTCACCTCAACTTCGCGATGATGATGCAACTGGGAGGAAGGATAATAAAAGAAGAATAACTATATTCTATAAGCTTTTTCTAGTAGGTGAGCGAGAGAATAATTAATGTATAATAAATGAGGTTAGGGCGAGCATTGTATCGGGTAAGAATCCTGCGAGTTATATAGGGTTTTAATGGAGTAAAGACGAGATCATGTAAAAGTGTAGAGGCGTGGCCTGAGGAAATGCACGTTAGTTTGATGCACTGAAAACTTAACCCGTAGAATATACAATGGATTATTCACTGATCTACTTGAATAAATATTCAGATTGGCCCGAAGGATCACGAATCAGTATCTCAATAAGATTCTAGGCTAAATACACAATAATTATCGAGGTTCACTGGAGCATTTGCGGATTTAGATGAACTTCACAAAATATCGCTCGATTCAATAAGAAACACTAACCGGCAATAAACACAAGGAATTACATACAAGGTTAATTCAGAACATACATTATTTCAACTTTATCTGATTTACTCAATAAAATCAGCTCATCATAGTGACCTAAATAATAATTAAGGTCGGCAATCCTGCGGAACCATTTCATTAAAATATGAATCATTAGTTTAAATCCGCATATAATGAGGCCGTTAGTGACAGAGGTTACCGAAAGGCAAAGGGGACTGTGACGAATGTTTTAGTACATTGTTTCTGTTTTCATGTTGGCATTTATAAAAACGTTTTAGTCTATTCGGATTGTAGTGAATACTCATTAAATCAATTTTTTCGCTGCCGGGTGCGTCGCGGACATTTAATTTTCTCACGCTAATAAAAGATTTTTATACAGCGTGAATTACCGATCTAAATGTCTTGACCGGAGGTCAGTCGCACCTAATTGGAATATGCAATTGATTAACTTTGTTGCTCAATGTTCTCAATCAGAAATGTTTTAAATAATTGGGGTTTTTATTTTATTTTCTCAAAGGACATGTAAATCCATGTGGTATCACGCTGACACGGTGCTGGTAGCTTTCTCTTACATTATTGTCTAAAATTCCAGGAAGTTAGAAGATAAGTGTCTGGGAATTGAAAAATTTCAACTATGACATGAATAAATATTACTTATTCCTAGGATTAGGTAATATTAGGTATATATGTCATAGTTGAAATTTTACCTATTACCTATCCAAGTGAATTTATTGCAAACTTGTCATCGGGTTTCATCGAGTGATGAGGATGAGAAGGAAACTGTGGTGCACTTGATTGTGGAATGTGAGGCGTATGAATGAAAACGACATTATATGATGAAGATGATTGTGAATGAGGAAGGTGAGACCGTGAGATTGATTGAGTGGGGTAGAGAAAACAAGCGAGTGGGGTATGAGAGAACACGTGAATGGGGTATGAGAGAACAAGTGAATGGGGTATGAGAAAACAAGTGTGTGGGGTATGAGAGAACAAGTTAGCCGTGGTTTGCAATGATTGTTGATTTATCTGAGTGAGCAGCTGTAGCAGTGATTGAGAGTGTGAAGAGATATTTGGAAAACGTGAGAATTATTATAAAGGAGGAGGATGTTAACAGTCTATTCTTGCAGAGAGATGAGGGGTGGGAGAAGGAATGACGAGTTGATCGAACGGTTGTACATTTGCCATTCCTTTTTAGATGTATGTAATTACTCACTATCTAATTACATATATAATGTCATAGGATATTTTAGTGAACACTTTGCTAGCTGAATGTTTTAGCTCCCTAGCGAAACGAGTAAATGTGGTTATTCTTTTTGAATGTATGAAGGCGTGTTGCATGGATAACCGGTCGAAAGTTCTGGCCACCGGGCAACACAGAGGCTCCCATTACTTTAGGTTTCTTCGGGCAAATTTTCCCTGTTAAGTTCTGCGGGTAGATTGCTAACTCCTAGCTCGCTTGCAAAGTAGGCAAGCAAGCCTGGGACAACCTGAACCCGTTCAAATATTTTCACTGATTAGACATCAGCTGAGCGAAGCGTCAACAACGCTCGGTAATTTTCCTTACTCATTAGTTTGAGGCACGAGTGTGGAGCGAGAGCGTAATGTCCGGATCACTTACTGATTTTCAATTGTGCAAATTTCAATCTTTTGATGAGAATGTACACATTTGCTGTCACATATAATTTTTCGTCCAAAAAATGTAATCCACATAACTTATTCTGATGAATAATTTATTTAAACTGTCATTTAAGGTTATTCTACAGAAATTTTGCATAATTATCGATTTAAATTGTAGAGGGGTAACAATTATAAATTTTCAAGGCCGATCATCATGGCTCAGGGCTCTCATGTACATACATAATTTTTTTATTTTAAAATAAAACTTTATGTACATATATCGTGTATTTTTCATTTTGGTCATTGAAATTTCTTATGAGAATTAAAAGGAGAAGGAATTAGATTTTTATATATCGTTTCATGCCAATTTCTTCGCAGTGCATTTAAATTGAGGCACACAAATTTTATATAAATATTTTTCCATACTAAAGTGGTTTGATTATTATTATATTATTGTTCCTCGTCCCATGCTCACAATGATGTGTTTAAAAAAAATTTCCTCTGTTGGTATGCTGCGATCATTGTTTTGAATTTTTGAAGTGTTGGTATCTCTGATAGTTTCGTACTTTGTAGTAAGAAACGCCGCAACCCTGTGTTTTCGGGAAAATGGCCATTAATCCACGAAAAGATGGGGGTCCTAATGTGAAATTTTACGAATCTAATGAAACTCTAACGCAATTTGAGACAGTCAAGTCATGGTTGATGAAAAATTGCAAAAAGGTAAGTGTTAATTTATTTTGTATCTTCTTTTAGCTCAGTCAAGCTTGGTCCAAGCTTGACTGAGCTAAAAGAAGATACAAAATTCTTGGAAATTCAAGATGGAACTTGGAAAAGAGATGCCTGGATTGATCATTGTTGGGGAATGGGGGACACCATTTAATAAATGATATGATCCCTAAAAAAATCTAATATATTTTGTAGAAGTTATGGGTTTCTTTCCTTCAGATTTTAGTGTAGCTATAAATTACAATAATACTAAAGATCCACAGCTATTTTATGAATAAAAATGAATCCAATCAATGTCAATTTGGATGCCAATTTGGATTTTTCTTATTTTTAAGCAAAGAAATTGTGGGAAAGGCCGTAGGAGCTAGTAAAATTGGCCAGATTCTAGGGCATTGTGTCCATTTATGAGTGGCTTTTGCCCATTGCCCAAATTTTCTATTTAGGGCATGGTGGCAGGGAATTATTGTGAGTACTTATGCGTCTGNTACATCTCTAGATGTGTATAAGAGACAGGTGTAGCTGTCAGCTGACTTTCTTCAGAAGTGCAAAAGCTTTTGCCGGTGAAGGTCACAGAAGGTGTGTTTTACGATCGGTCCGTAAAAAAGCGTTGATCGGTTCAAAATGACAAAAGAACAGGTTCTTTTGAATAACCTATGGATTGCCACCATGATTTAGGGGCAGAAGCTACTCAAGCTAGGGTAAACGCGGTATATTCCGACACATTAAGGACGCATCGAGAAATGAAAAACTATAAATAAAAACCGTATGCGTTACGTAAGTTCTGTTGGCTTCACGTGACTCTCAAAACACTGCACTATGCGTCAGAAACTATGAAACGTCACAAAATGTTGCCATTCTCCATTAAGTCATATTAACGTCACAAAATGCAGTCTCCATTAAGCCGTGGTCGAGAGCGGACGCTCGTGCTCGTGGTCCCAAATTTCTAAATTTTTAACCTTTTACTGTGCCGTTTTCAGAACTCTTTTCGCATTTTTTTTATGATCCGTGCCAGAGAATAACCGAATTTCAGTTCAGTTCAGTGAAGTCCACACTCAGGAAGATGTATATAAACGGGGAATAGCGTAGTATTATTATACCAGCGTAGTATTATTATACCAGCGTAGTATTATTATACCAGCGTAGTATTATTATACCAGCGTAGTATTATAATACTCACGTAGTAAGAAGCGTGTTACCTGCGCTCAGCTGGTGCAGAGCGACGGCAGCTGCAGCTGAGCAGATGTCAGCTGCAGCTGCAGGATCAGGTGTCAGGTGACCAGACGAGACACTTGTACAGCCACGGACTGTCTGTACTACACATATTTAATGCTAAACTCTGGTGATGCTGTGCATACAGCATACCTAATGCTGTCATAGAGATAACGCTGCGAAAAAGTTATTTTATGCACGCGTAATGCTGGAAAGATATATTGTTATGTATTCGTTTTAATAATACGTATATGTACTGCTGTGTAAAGATAACGCTGCGTATGGGTAATGCCGTTTGAAGATAAGGCTAAGCATTGGCAATTCTGTGTTCAGTTAATGCTGTGTACATTTAATGTTTTTTTAGAGTTAAGACTGCGTGATATTGATGCTGTGTCTAAACGTAATTTTGCGTATGCGGCGTATTGGTGAAGTTGCGTTTACTTTTAATGCTGCGTAAAACTTATGCTGACTGGAACTAATACTGTCAGTACCGCCTGCAGCTGATGCTGTCTATATTCTCTACATTTTAAATATTTGTTTTTACTTGAAATTTACGTAACTAGAAAAAATATAGCGTTGATCAAATTGAAAGGATTCCGATTTCTATCTTTCCTGGATTTAATCATCAGGGGCCATACTTTCAAAATTCGCTAAGTGAACGTAAGTTCTTACGCTCTATTTTCTTGTCCATGATTGATGGATTTTGCTTGAAAGGCCTTCAATAATTGGCAGATGAAATTACGATCTCTTAACTTTTTTTGAAATTATGGGCCCAGATGAGTATCGACAAAAATATTTATGTGGCCAGGCCGGAGAAGTGAATGTCTAGCTTATTGGTTGCTCTAGCATAGCTCAGCACAGTTGCCCCAACACCTCCCAGGACATCTGAAGGAGGCGGCGCGAGGTAAGTGACCCTGGTTCGGTGTCACGCAAGCCGCCCTTTGTGTCTCGCGCTCCTGGCAGCCTGCACGTATAAAAGCCCCCGCTGCTGTGGGTTCGTCACCAGTTGTGCGCTGGCCATCGTAGGGTGAGGGCGAGTATCACGGATTTCCTTCAACATGCTGCGACTTCTTCTTTTGGTGGCGCTGTGTGGTACGTTTGTCATAGTATAACATGAATTTTTTAGGTGAAGAGTTCCTAATTTTGACTTTAAGAGGGCGCTAGATCATGGCACGATTTCATCAAATTAGCTTAAGTTCAATGCAATTAGACAGCAATAGTTTCTTAAGATACTTGATAATGAAGCAATTATTCCTCAATATTTTGAGATTAACGAATTTGTTTGTAGTAAAATCGTATTAAGTGAAGATAAAATAAATCGTATTGGTAAAATTAATTTTGAAGAATGAAATAAAAAATAATGCGATGAAATGCATGTGTTTGGATGCCAGCATTTCATTCACTTTTCCAATGAGATTTCGTTGTGGGGAGATTTTCGTGTTCCGCTTTGGCTGTTTCTTGAAATTCATTCTTAATCACAAATTAAACATTTACAGGAGTAACAATATAAGCCAAGCTTCATGCTATTATAATTAAACTCTTATTTTGTTTTCGTGCTCTAGTGCTTATTTTAGTTTTATGGATACTGACGTGGAAAAGGCCGGTCAAGGAAAATGCAGGCAAAATATATATGAACCAATATTTCAGAGGACCGCGATTGCAAACTTACTGTATATATCTTTATGAAATTCCTAACATGTGATTCTGTCCAATTAACTGCCCACTAATGTCGCGGTCCTTGATCGTTACGTCTATCACTCAAACAGGAATTGCTCAAATTCTAGTAATTTCTGCAAAGGAAATGAAATTCAAATTTAAAAGCGTTATTTCTCCTCACGCATGTGAAATAAACTGCAAGACTAATAAACTGAACTATTTGAAGACCGTGAGAGAAGGTGTCGCAACCTGCACCTTCTATTAGACGTGATCGATCATTTGAATAAAAAATGATAAATTTGTCATGTGCGCCTAATAATTGATAACAAATCAACAAGCGTTACTTATTAGCATCAGTTCCATTGATTAGCACTGCTAATTGAAGGCTAATAATATCCATTGATTAGCACTGCTAATTGAAGGCTAATAATATCCATTGATTAGCACTGCTAATTGAAGGATAATAATATCCATTGATTAGCACTGCTAATTGAAGGATAATAATATACCACATCCATGTTACGAGCCTCTCCATATTAATGGCGCTTCCTTGAGCTTATCGGTTATTCAAGCACATGAAATTAGGAAGAGAGATCCATACCTCCATGATTTGCATCGCAAGAAATGTACGGAATGCACTCCAAATATTTGACTTACCTCAAAATTATGATCGCTCTAGGTCAAGTTACGGTAAAATAAGGTTCATTCTCAATTAGATTAACTTGTTCTGCTCAATTAGGTTATTAGGTTATCTTCTTTCAATTAGGTTATCTTCCTGACTGGCAGAAGTGTGCCTTTCTGATGATAAATATTTGAAGTCATTTTGTGTGTCCCCGGGCGTGGGGCTGGGGGTGGGGTGGGGATTGGGCCCCAGCATTCTGATAATAAATCATTTAAGCCACATAATTTCCTCAGGCGTGGGGTTGGTGGGGGTGGGGTTGTGCCCCAGCATTCTGGTAATAAATCATTTAAGTCACATAATTTCCTCAGGCGTGGGGTTGGTGGGGGTGGGGTTGTGCCCCAGCATTCTGGTAATAAATCATTTAAGCCACATAATTTCATCAGGCGTGGGGTTGGTGGGGGCGGCGCCCCAGCAGGTCGAGGTCTTCGACTACAGGGCGATCGTCAAGACAGGCGTACAGAACCCGCGCCAGGTCTTCGCTGGAACCAGGATGTATTTGTCTGTCGAAGTCAGCCGCAAGTCTGACCAGTCAGCCAAAGTCACGGTAAGTCAGCCGCAAGTCTGACCAGTCAGCCAAAGTCACGGTAAGTCAGCCGCAAGTCTGACCAGTCAGCCAAAGTCACGGTAAGTCAGCCGCAATTAAGTCAGCCGCAAGTCTGGCCAGTCAGCCAAAGTCACGATAAGTCAGCCGCAAGTCTGGCCAGTCAGCCAAAGTCACGATAAGTCAGCCGCAAGTCTGGCCAGTCAGCCAAAATCACGGTAAGTCAGCCGCAAGTCTGACCAGTCAGCCAAAGTAACGGTAAGTCAGCCGCAAGTCTGACCAGTCAGTCCAAGTCACTGTAAAAAAGACCGTTGTTGTAAAATATAGGGTATAGCCTATATAAACGTTGAACACAGCCTAACGGCCGTTTGTTGTTTACAGCCGCCTGTCTTGAAGTTTATAGGTACGTGGACCAACATTTATGAATGATGATTTATATTTATAATGTTAAGTTGAAAAGGGAGGGTGATTGGTTTGTTGGTAACTTCTATAGAATACGGTACGCGTGGAAAAGCTTATTACTTAAAACGCTCGCTATTTGAGTTAAAATATGCCTTATAAATATTGTAAATGGATAATATTAATTGCGTTCAGTGGTCTTTATTGGAAAGTGAAAGAGCTTTAAGTTGAAGGTTTATTTTTTAGAGACAAGTACAACGGCATAGTTATAACTCAACATTTATCATAATATCGTAACATATATTGCAGATCGTCAAGAAGAATGTGGAGCTGTTCAACAGAGAAGAGCTGCTGGGAGAGCGGCAACCTCTGGAGCCGTCCTACAGGAGGCACTCGGTCGCAGCTCCGTCCGGCGGCGACGATGTCACTTCCATTGAAGGAAGCTTCACTGCTTTGCTCAACCAGGAGTCCGGGGTAAGGCAAAAGTTCTTGATTACTCATTCAAAAATAATGGTGAACATAAGTCACATTTTGGGTGTGAATGGCTTTTTAGAAAGGCGACAATAATTGATGAGCGCCGCTCGCCTAATTCGCATGAACTATTGAACAAACTCCTTCAGACTCTCAACCACAGTCAAGACAAGGATTTCAGGAAATCAATTAATCGTTTTTGCATCTACTATGAAAAGGTTTTAACACGAAGTTTATGAGACAGCATGACATTAAATTTCTTCGCTTCTTCAAATAAAATCACCCAAAATGAATGCTCAACTGTGGCACTTTAAACTATCAATTACACGACCGTGTGAAAGGAATATAAACGAAAGTTCTTCTTAATGACTTATAGATCATCGCCAGCAAAAGCTAATGTTCTTATTTTTATGTTATTATTTGCCAAGCAATTCCAGAGATTTGAGGCTCATTACACAGTAATTAATTTTCCCGTCGATCGTAAGCTATGTTTTGGTGCCCAGACTGTGATGAAGCTGGACAGCCCTCGGGAGCTGTGGGTTACGAACCTCTGGAAGGGCATCATGAACATGCTCAGGGTGCCGCCCTACCTCGGCGACAGGAGCTTCGTGGACCTCGAGCGCAACGTCTTGCACGCTGCGTCCGAGATGAGCACCTCGACGGCCTCCCAGAACCTTGCTTACTTCAAGACCGAAGACACCTTCGCCGGCCGCTGCAACGTCAGGTCAGAACTATACACTAAAAAAAATGTAACTCAGTACTCACTGCAGTGAGTGACAGAGAGCGCATTTCCTCATCGACGAAAACGTGAAGTCATGAACGGACAGACAGTCAGACAGACGGACGGACATGACGAGCACAATAGCGCCTTTTTCCATAAATGGGAAAATGCTCTAAAAATGAGTTTGGTTCTGTCAAAAAAGCGATGCATTTTTGCTCTTGTTAGGGCCATTCTGATCCAGTTCGACAAGATATATAAGGACGTATAAAGACATATACACGTATGTTACACGTGTAGAATGTGGGACGATATTCGGACAATTTGTCCCATTAATTTATCCCACTGATTACAGTGTACTAGTAGTCAGTGCAAACCACCTAGTTTATTTTTAAATACTAGATGTATAATAATTAGCTTATTCGCTCTATTGATTTAAATGATATAGGTAAAAATAGCATACTTTTGCAAGCTGTTAATTCATATAATTCTCGTAGGATTGAGTCAGCTTAAACACAGTCAGCTTAAAATACGGCAGTAAATTTATTGAACAATAAAATTAGAAATCAACGAAAATGGGGCAATTTAAATGGCTTCTCGTTCTAATACTTTAAAGTTGTGGCAAGACTGATATGATTGCACGGCTAGTTGCAATCATACCATTGCATATTATATTATTGCAATCATACCAATCTCACAACAATTTCATACCAATTTCATACCAAATCACTGACAAGTTCTTTCTTCCCTTCAGCTACTCGATGAACCCCGACTTCGCTGCAGGAGAGTTCCCGGGATCTCCTTCCAACGTCCTGCCTGCAGACCCCACCAAGTACTACAGGTGCGTGTAGTGGTAATCGGGTACTTGCTACACCAAGCACTACTGATGCTTGTACTCTTCATAGAAGTACTTTGGTACAGTATATTCAATTATCGTAAGGGCTATGTGGCCTCAGAAGCATGAAAGCATCAATCGAAATGGGTCAGGTGAACACGTACGTTAGGTCCATCTAGTTCACTCGATCAACTAGGGTTCCATCATCGGTCGGTATCATTTCCAGAGAACACATAATATAAATTGAAAACAAAGTACAGCCTAAAGTAAAATTAAAAGATATCCTCCCTGCAACTGGGATCTCAAAAATATTTTATGAACGACAGTCCGAGCAAGACTCTCGAAAAACCACTCATTTATCTTTTCTTTGTAACCACTCACAATGTTTGACTCGCAGGCTGCATCGCGCCATCGACTTCGACTCCTGCTCAGACGCCGTGTCCATGCACAAGACCTCCTTCGGGAACTTCTCTAAGGCGCACCGAAGTCAGTTCGAGGAGGTGCAGACTAGAAGCGCCGTTTCTGACTACCTGCTCTTCGACCGCGGCGACGGCTTCTTCGATATCAAAGGCGTCATGCAAGTTGGCAACCAATTCGTCAGGCCCTTCGGCATGGACTCCGGCCGTATCCTCCTTCTGACCAATCAGGTGAGTGCTTGTGGTGGTCAACCGCATTGAAATTAGCATGTGATGAGGTTCAATTAAAGGGTATATTCACCTGTTGATTGTACGTGATTTGAGGTTGTCAAATGAAATTCATTGGATATGAATATGGTGGATGGAAATTACTGTTATGTGGAAATTACTGTAATAAAAATATGATTAATAATGAAACTAAATTTAACGAAACATCACCCTGAATTTACAATAAAAACTATGCGTATCAGCAGTACCAATTAACTAAACTCACTTTCTTCCGAGTTAAATGAGATGACAGTAATTCATGAAAATTTTTGTTTCGCGAACTTTGGCGAGTAGCCAACATGACGACTTCGGTAAACAGCAAGCAAAAAAGCCTGTAATTAATAGTTCTCGCTTGTTTGCAGACCTTGACCCTGCAGAAAGTGACCCCAGGAGGTGGGTCAGCCCACATCATGACCCCCGAAGACAGGTCAACCCACCGCCGAGTCCATGCGAGGAGTGAGGACGGTGAGCGCACGGAGATCAAGACGTGGAAGTGCGAACTGCGGTCACCCGCCGCCCCACGCGACGACTCCAAGGTCGACTGGATCGACTACGTCTCAAAGGTTAGATTTCTTCAAGATTTACAATTTAATTTATGTCAAATTTCTTCAATACATTTGTCAATTATTTTCAAATATTTTAGTGCGTTCACATTCATAGAAACGCCTCCACCGCCTTCGCCGTTGTGGTTCCTGCAAGCATTATAGTCCCCGTATAATGCAATTTGCTATAGTAAGACAATTTGAATGAAAATATTAGCTGTGTTGACAGCATTAAGGACAGCATTCATAACTTAACTGAAATTAGACTTATGATACCAGCATTAAAGATCACAAGGCTAATGATACCAGCATTAAAGATCAATACTTTACTGGGATTAGACTTATGTCATCATTAAGGATCATTACTTATGGAATATTATACTGCATCCAGGGACCTCTCGCAACGTTCTACCCTGAGTGGGCCATCTTGGGCAGAAGCGTCAAGAATGAAGATGAGAACAAGGTGAATATTTAAAAATTAGTTCCTAATGGGTAAGTTTCAAATTAGGAGTTAATTAATTCCTGATGAGTAAGTTTCGAATTAGGACTTAATTAATTCCTGATGAGTAAGTTTCGAATTAGGACTCAATTAATTATTGATGGATAAGTTCCAAATTAGGACTCAATTAGTTCTTGAAAGATAAGTTTCAAATTAATACTCAATTTATTGAATGATAGCATTCAGCGTTTATTTCGATTGTGGGGCTTTATAGGATGGTGCGTTGCATCTTCATTACGTGATGAGGATGCTGCGTCGTACCTCAATTATGGAACATTTGGCTCTCTTTTAGCCATCGTTCAAAGTTTCAATCACGAAAAACTGTTTTCCTTTTCACTCCTTCCTCGTTGGAACTTGCGATCAAAAAACAAGAAACCTCAGCATCTTAGATGATGTTATCAACATCCATTTATTTTTGAACTGATTTTCTCTCAACTACACGAGAATGTTCCGCGTTGCAGAAAGCCACCCAGGACATCCTGAACGAACTTGCTACTTCTGAATTCGAGGACAACAAAATCTTCGACAAGAAATACAACGGCACCACCGACGGCAGGCTGGCGGAGCAACTGAACCGCGTTGCTCGCACCGTCCGAACTCTCACCTACGATAGCATCAGGAAGCTCCTCAAGGATAATCCCAAGGATGCTAAGGACAGGGCCAGTCGCGCCAAGAGGTACTTAGTAAAATACAATGTTGTAAGGTACTCTATATGACACTGATAATAGTGTTAAGCTCAGGCGCTTGCGTGTAGATTGCAGAGGTGATCAGTATGCAGCTAGTAACATAACGTGAGTCAAGACCAGAACCCCAAGCTGTTCAATTACGAGTACAAGAGATTACTTTGGTCATTCTAAATGATATTAGAATTGGGAAAAAAATCCTATTGTGAAGCGACTTGAAGCAGAGAGTCTCAATGAGAAATTTGCATCGCATCCGAATTGTATCGGCACTTTAGTTGGCACTAACGCTTCTCTCTTCCTCCTCAGACAATGCCTGCTGGACGCTTTGGTCGCGTCTGGATCAGCTCCAGCTCTGAAGGCCGTCCTGGACGAGGCTAAAGACGGCCATATCGACAACATAAGAATGGGTGGTCTCATGACGGGCATGGTCAACAACATCTACGATTCCGAGCCTGTCAAGGATATTATGGTAAGACTCCGGCACTAAAGGCTTCCCAGGTTTCATAGCTTTTTAATTATTTATTATTTGAAGTCCGATTATAAGACCGTGTCGCTCTATGACCTGATATTTTATACTGAATAAAAATCATTTCAATTTCATAATGAATACAAGCATTTACACCAAATTACCGAATACATGAAATTATAACGAAAGCTTTCTATACTTATATATTCTTACGATGTAATACTAAGACTGGAGTTCACCCCAGGAATACGTGAAGACCTTGGAGCCCTCGAAGAGCCCTTACCTGGCTAGTCAGGCTCACCTCAACTTCGCGATGCTGGCACAGCGCGTGTGCACGCGGTCAGACGTCAAGCGCTACGCGGTGCCCAACTCCTACATCGGCAACAAGGCCTGCGATAAGACCATCATCGAGGACGGCTTTGTCAAGCACCTCGAGGACAGGATCAAGGTAAAGGGCCATATTATTTATCTAAATTTGTTTAAGTTGAATTAGTAAGCAAAGTGACTTTATGTAGCGTCCTAAGTACACGTAGCGGCCTTAAGTGTATGTTGTAGCGGCAGATTTCGTCAATGTGATAGACTGGTTCAGCTTTAAAAGCAGTCGGTACATACGAAGTTACGTGTTCGTTACTCGTTTCAACAATATGGCTTCAGGACTGCAACGTTGGGACTTTTTTAGTGCTGTGGTGTATTTCCTTCATTTGCGTGCTTTATTCGAGATCAGCTAAAAGATTTTACAAATTTTAGTGATCACTAAGAGCGTTAACTAGATGTGATTAGAAGAAGTTTGAATTTATTCACTTAAATATTATTCAGACTAGTTAGATGTAATTTTATTGCTTCCTGTTCCTGGAAAATTATATTCAAGAAGGCAGTTATTATCTTTTGGGGTGAACATATGACATCGAAATTTATTGTGGTTGGTGATTGCAGAGCGCGACAAGCGTATGGGAGCAGATGATGTACACCCAGACTCTGGGCACCCTAAGCCTCGAGAGCACCATACCCTTCCTTAAGGATGTCTGCCTCGGCAAGATTAAGAACAATATCCACCTTAGGATGGCCGCTATCCATTCCCTCGCCCACAACTTCATGCAGAAGCCTCTCAAGAATCGCGTAAGTAAAGCGCCGGATATTAAAGAACATAATCCAAAATTTTAATGCATGAAAATTTACGGTAAATTAAGCATTAAATTTAGAAGAAGCTGTCGGACATTTATCTACGCAATTATTGGAGGCTGATACCTAAAATCACTTTCCTGGAGTTTAGTGTAGGTTCGCAGGAACTACCGGAGACCAACATTCTGACAGCACTACCGTCCATTTTAACTGTTATATTGACAAACATGAACGACTGTGGATGCAGGTTGAAACAGTGCTGCTACCGTCCATTTTAACTGTTATATTGACAGCCATGAACGACTTTTGGTGCAGGTTGAAACGGTGCTGCTACCGTCCATTTTAGCTGTTATATTGACAGCCATGAACGACTTTGGGTGCAGGTTGAAACGGTGCTGCTACCTTGAACGACTTTGGGTGCAGGTTGAAACAGTGCTGCTACCGTCCATTTTAGCTGTTATATTGACAGCCATGAACGACTTTGGGTGCAGGTTGAAACGGTGCTGCTGGCGCTTGCTGAGTCCCACGCTGATGACTTCCGCATCCGAGAGGCCGCCTTCATCAGCCTCATGACCCTGGAACCCAACGCCACCATGATCGAGCGCTTCGCCCAGAACTCGTGGAGAGACCCATCATCTCACATGCAGTCCCTCATCACCTCAACCCTCATCGCCCTCGCCGAGTCGGACAGTCCGTCTATGCAGAGGCAGTAAGTCGCATTTGCCGACAGCATATTTAGTTTTAAGTGACGGCCAGTAATTCGTTTTGCAGAGATATTCCCTACCAATTAATACGCATGAGTTCATAGGGCACTGCAGATAGGAGGTTAATACAGCAGAAGAAATTATTTTGTCGCGCCTCTTTGAATGTCGTGGTCTGCAATTAGCTTCACATCAGGGACGGGCATGACTGTGTAACTAAATTTAGCTACTTCATTTGTATGTATATAGAATGGTATTCCTAGACATGTTTAGTCCTAGACAAAAATTTATTCTATTTTCAAATTTATGTCATAATACCTGTTAAAGACGAAACTCATGGTTCGTGTACATCCGTGCGCACATGAGAAATATTAGAGAAAAATTTTTTCAACTTGCCCTATAGCAATTCCGAACCCAAAGTTATTTTATTTGTGTTGACTAAAAAGCTCACTGCTTGTATCCATGCTGCACAACTAATATATGTCAAATACGAATAATCTCACCTCACCCTAGACCTATTCTAATTTAAATGTTGAGCAAGTTATAATTTAGTTTTGCATGACTTAGTTTACTTTAGTTAGTTCAGTAAGGAACATTAAACGCAAATTGCTTTCACCCGTCCAGGAGCAACATAGCAAGAAAGTTCCTGCCGAAGGTGAAGCCTGTTCAGCCGTCAGTCCGGAACTCCGTGCATTTCCTCGTCAAGACCAGAGTTCCAGACTACAAGGTGACGAGCGAGTCTACTTTTATTTTATTAGTAAAATCACGTACGGTTTATACTAAGTAAAGTAACAAGGTATTTGGAACAGCAGTCTAATTTTTCTGTCCAGGTAGACGTCGTACAGACGTTTAGAATTCTTGTTTGGACATCATGACGTCTAACTTTCCGTCTAAGTGGACATTTAGCCTACGTTTAGGTTTCTTGTATGGACGTAGGTAGTTATTAGACCTACGTTTAGGTTTCTTGTATGGACGTCATGACGTCTAACTTTCCCATTCAGGTGGTTATTGAACCTACGTTGAGGTTTCTTGTATGGACGTCATGACGTCTAATTTTCCGTCCAGGTGGACGTTTAACAAACACTTCGTATTATTGTATGGACGTCATGACGTCTAACTTTCCGTCCAGGTGGACGTCAAACAAACGCTTAGGATTCTCGTATGGACGTCATGACGTCTAGCTTTCCCGTTCAGGTGGACAATAGACCTACCGTTAGGTTTCTTGCATGGACGTCATGACGTCTAACTTTCCCGTTCAGGTGGACAATAGACCTACCTTTAGGTTTCTTGCATGGACGTCATGATGTCTGATTTCCGTCCAGGTGGACGTCGAACAAACACTTCGTATTCGTGTATGGACGTCATGACGTCTAACTTTTCCGTTCAGGTGGACAATAGACCTACCTTTAGGTTTCTTTCATGGACGTCATGATGTCTGATTTCCGTCCAGGTGGACGTCGAACAAACGATCTCATGGCTGACCAAGTACCGTTCGCCCATCGCGGCGCCCCAGCAGCTCTTCGCGGCCTACGATGGCGACTTCGGAGGCATCGTTGTGCCCCTCATGGAGGTCTGGTGCAGCTTCTCTAATACTGCTAATTTTTATAATTTGTCTAGGCTCTAGAGTATACTTGAAGATTATTTCATTCTATTACTTGCAAATATTTGCTGGCAGCTGAAAATTAGCTGGAACATGCAAATTTAGATTGCAGGTTTCGATCCATGTTATGCTATCAACCCAAACGCTGAAACTCAAGATAACTTCATATTAATTTAACAGTACCTCAAAATGACACTGACACATAACTGTTCGAATTTCTGCCTGAAGTAAATACTCATCAGTTGGTAAGAGATTTTGTTTTATATATTCATATAATAAGAAGAAATACGAATTCCATGTGCAAATAAGAAATGAGAGTTCCTTGGGCAGACGTTTTCCATGCTCGACTCAAACCAAATCCGAGGACTGGCGGCGTCCGCGAACGGCAGCAAAGTTGGTCCGATCCACCAGGAGCTCGACCAGCTCGCGGTGAGAAAAGACATCATTCTGTGTGGCAGGGAACTTCATTATCTCTTATGAACTGAACTTTAAAAAATATAAGAAGTAACGAAAATGTAAAAAAATTCATGTATGAAAATGTCAAAAATGTCTTTATGAAAATGTCACAAATGTCATTTTCGGAAATGACGAAGAATAGTGCTAGTTTTCATTGCGATGATGCGGACATACACATTTCCACAGTGTTATTTTTCGTGTTTCTTTCACTCATATATAACACGGTTTCCATACATTTTCAGGCCACATTATTCTCATTGTTACTATTGCTAGTTGCATTAACTCGTACGTTTTAACAGAATCAGCTAGTCTTGTTCCAAGAGTCTTCAGCATTCATTTCTTCCTGCTGAACGTATTTGGTATCTTGTTATCAGGAATGTTCTTTAGAATTTTTGAAATACATTCGGCCACAGTTTCAAAGTTTTATTGAGGGGAAAGAAAGCCGCAATAACAATTGAAAATTAATTGAATTAATCAATCAATTGATTCTAATTGATGATGTTCTTCTGACCCTAGAACTCCTTGGAGCTGGAGAAGAGTTCAAGTGATAAAGATATCTACGTGTACATGAGTGGCTTCAACTACCAAGGCTTCATGGCCTACAACAGCAAGAAAGACGCTCCGATGAGTGAGTGAACTGTTCAAGCTAGACGTTGGCAGTCGCCAACTTTACCACGGCCAACTATCAGCTCATATTTGTGCCTTTTGCCTATTTTTATGTCATGACTTTCCATAAATGGCTTTTTCCATTAGTGTACTAACCTGGCCTTTCAAGGGTAAATTTATTCGTTGGTCCTCGCAGGTTTGTTGATTTATGCTACGGTTATATTCGTAACACAAATCAAATCTATCCGAACACAAAACAAATGTTGTTATAGGATTTTCCTATATTCGATACCTTATTATTTGCTCTTGATTCAATTGCTGATATGTAAAAACTCCAGACTCGCTGTCTAACATGTAGAACATAGACTAAGCTATTAATCTCGTTATTTCTTCTTAACAGTTCAGAATTTCCTGAAGGAGAAAGCAACCAAGGAAAAGAAGCCTTTCATGCCTGAACAGATGGTCAAGTATTTCAACCCCGTGGACATCACCAGCATCATGCCCACTCCTGTCGGTCTTCATGTCATCACTCAAGTGAGCAACGTTTCTCAACAGCAGCCTGGACCATCCAGTGCCTTAATTGAGATTTTCCTGCAGATTACGTACAATACAGCAAATTTTAAAAACAATTATACATTGCAAAGCCAAATTCAAGGGTCATTCAAAGACTTTGCGTTACCTACTCGTCGTAGATGTTAGATATCAGGGCCTATACTTTAAAAAAAAGTTAAGAGATCGTAAGTTCATCAGCCAATCATTGACAGCCTTTCAAGCAAAATCCGCCAATCATAGACAAGAAAATTGAGCGTAAATACTTACGTTCACTTAGTGAATTTTGAAAGTATGGCCCCAGGTCTCTGATACTTTATTAATGATGGTTAACGTGACTGAAGATCACGAATCCACTGAAGATTATACTGAAAGCCACTGAAAATTAATGTATGAATAAATGGGTTCTTTTTGTACGTATTATCAGGTCCAGGCCCCCAACCACTACATGTGGGACTGCGACTACACGTTGGACTTCGTCAAGGATGAACTGGGCAACTCAATTGCCAACCTCACCATTGATGGCATCAACAAGTGAGTATGAAAAGAGGCGGTAAAGTGGTGCACTGCATGGGCAGCCAGAAGCAAAATGCAAGTCAATATATTACAATGCATAAAATAAAATGACTTAATAATAGATTTACAACTAAAGTACATATTTTCGAGGAAACCCATGTAGTAGCCACATGCACTTTATTCTGTAAACTCATCACTCCTCACCTGCCGTCTCTTCTCATCTCCATCGTCTCCTTTACCTCCCTCCTCCCCTTGGACAAGAATCGGACACATCCCTTTGTTCTAAATGTATTTTGCTGTTTAAAAATAACTTTACTATTCAAATGGATCAACCTTCAAGCTCTGCTACCTCAAACGGCGCAGACTCCTGCCATTAATTAAATTTTCCTCCCAGGATGACGACGAAGACCCAAACTTTCATGAGCGTCCTCATCCCGTGGGAGGAGAAGGCCATCAGCGCAGGATTCGACACCGAGGCCACCATTGCCGTCCCTGGCAAGCTTAGTGTAACTTACAACGACACTTATCCCTTCACCATCCTCAGACATGAGGTGTCACCTAACTTCCGTGGAGAGGTGAGTTCTAAAAACAATACCCACACATTCATCATGCACCAGGTAACATTTAATTACGACACTTATCCCTTCACCATCCTCAAACACGAGGTGTCACCTAACTTACGTGGTGAGGTGAGTTCCACATAAAAACAATACCCACACATTCATCATGCACCAGGTAACATTTAGGAAAGGGGGAGAGCAATTGTATCCTGACATTATTTCTACTTGACCTTTCTCGGCATTTAGGTTCTATCTTGCAACCACTGCGTGGTGTTTGGAATGATTTTATGCACAAAAATTAATGGAGCTCCTCAAAATTTTTTCTCGTTCAATCAAAAAAGTAGGAGAGACACGAAAATTTCTGCTTTGTTTTCGCAAAAGGTAATAAATTTTCTCAACTGAGAAACTCTGAAGAAATGTTAATCTCGCCAAATGCAATCTTTGAAAATTGCCTGTGTTTTTATTAATTTTATTATTAAACATCTACAGTGACGCCCCTGTAGCATGAAAATTAGTGAATTTAATGCGCATTGTCTAGTTCCTGTTAGGTTTTTCATGTTAGGTTTTTCAATGTTTTTTAATGTTAGAACAAATCTATTAAGAAGAATGAAAACAATTACTCTTTTTAATGACATAACTCCGATTTTCAGACAAAGAATTTAAAGCAGACTGCATTCAATTAAAAGGGGAGACAATTTGTTGTACATGGGCAATACCTACGTGAGATATTTTTGCAACAATCTTCCGATTATTCTTTGCCGCCCACTTCACGATATTAAAAGTTTAAAACGTGTTCTCTCCCTCCAGCAACCAGTTCTGTACTGGCGCAGCAAGCCTATGTCGATGGTTCGATCAATGGATCCGACGGTTGACCGCACTATCGAGACCAACATCCTCACCCCCGTGGGCAACAAAACTAATTCGTACCAAGTGAGCTCTGATGTAGCAACCTGTGATAGTGGTGAGCTTTATTAGAGAACAATAGGTGCTTTATGATTCAATTCTGTACCAAATCTGTAACAATGTAAGGTATCCGCGCTACTTCACTCGCTCGCTCATGTGACTGAGAAGTTCGACGAGCTTTTCAGAACGTCAAGACATGTATGCTCGTTTGGTTTAGTTGAAACTTGGCACCATAGAGTTGAACGCGCGTTTATCTGAACTGCGTAAACTGTTGAACTCGCGTTTATCGAACTGCGTGAACGATAATCAGATGCTATTAATTGTTTTCAATAGCCGCAATGATTGTAATATTGAAGAATTTTCTGTTTGAGTCAAACATCTTCAGTTGCTTATGCAAGTACTATCCATCAGTAGTGTCTTCGAAACATCAAGCTATATTATTTACTATTAAACATCTAGCAATATTATTTACTAATAAACATCTAGCTATATTATTTATTATTAAACACTAGCTATATTATTTATGATTGAATATCTAGCTATGTTATCTATTTTCGCCTTCTCTCATATTATCCCAGACAAAAATTGACGTGCCAAAGAATGTCCTTGGACTGAAGGCCAAGTTGAGGTACGATGGAGACGTCGACTTCCCATTCCAACAGGCCAACGTTCTCGACTACCTCAGGTTAGTCAATTCTACCTCACGCTAGTCCATTCTACCGCAGGTTAGTCCAGTCTACCTCAGGTTAGTCCACTCTAACTCAGGTTAGTCTATTCTACCTCAGTTTAGTCCACTCTACCTCACGCTAGTCCATTCTACCTCAGGTTAGTCCACACTACCTCAGCTTAGTCCATTCTACCTCAGGTTAGCGTTAGTCCATTCTACCTCAGGTTAGACCACTCTATCCCAGGTTAGGTCAGACCACTCAGTATGAGAACCTTCCGTTATACTTTCTCTATTGCCTGAAAAAAATAAGATTAAAATACATTGGGTGTTCAACATGGCATTAATATCTTTCCTACAATGGCATCCTGAATAAGAACATGAGGAGAAAAACCTTGCCTTTCGGACATTTATCTCCTTCAAACTAATGCGATACTGGGCCAAAATCGACCTGCTTGAGGATTATGCATTCGCATGCATTGACTGATTTCAGTTTATACAACCAATATCATTCATTTAAACGAATATTCCAAAATAATATTCTCGTTAGCACCTATTTGTGGTAACTATAACCTTTTCGTACATAGGGTTGCTCATTGTTTATTTTTGGCAACTATAAATTATTTCGTTAATAAATGGATGAACAATATTGATTATAATGACCAAGATTACAATTTACGCAACTGTTTTGGATTCTGACGAGCCGTCTGTCACTGTGAAATTGAAGTCGAAACTTTACCATAATTGAACCCTCACCATAATTGGTAAGGTGACCCAGTGGTTGAAGTTCAGAGTACCAGGATTGGAGCAGAGAGTTGCGGGTTCGATCCCAGCTCTGTGCGCCAGTTTCTGGTCAGAATCGCGGCAAGAAGGCCGGGCGGTTATGCAAAGAAAATTTAAAGCAGTGAGTTGCGTGTACAAGCCCGCAACATGCTGTGGAATGTTCTGCATTGTTAAGAATCGGCGACAGGCCTACGGCCTAATAAACGCTCAAACTGCTATTATTATATTATAATTGGGACCACCGATGAAACGTAATGGGTGTGGTGCTCGGCCAGGTACCCTGAGCGGCTCGTCACTCTCCTGGCGACGCCCACGGCCCGAGACTCAACTTTGTACTTCGCCCTCGACATCGACCAGTCGGAGACCAAGAACATCTCCATTGCTGTCGTGACCGGTGAGATATGTTCTTCATTGCTGTCGTGACCGGTGAGACACGTTCTTCATTGCTGTTGTGACCGGTGAGATATGTTCTTCATTGTTGTCGTGACCGGTGAGACACGTTCTTCATTGCTGTTGTGACCGGTGAGATACGTTCTCCATTGCTGTCGTGACCGGTGAGATACGTTCTCCATTGCTGTCGTGACCGGTATGACACGTTCTTCATTGCTGTTGTGACCGGTGAGATACGTTCTCCATTGCTGTCGTGACCGGTATGACACGTTCTTCATTGCTGTTGTGACTGGTGAGACATGTTATCCATTGCTGTCGTGACCGGTGAGACATATTCTCCGTTGCTATTGTGACCGGTGAGACATAATCTCCATCGCTTTGGTGGCTGGTGCATGTGACACGTTATCCATCGCTGTCGTGGCCGGTGAGACATGTTCTCCATTTCTATTGTGACTGGTGATACATGTTCTTCATTTGCTGTCGTGGCTGGTGAGACTGGAGCTGATAAATTTAGATCTGAGTGGTATGAAGATTTTACTAAAAGATTTTGATTATAGGAATAGTATTTTTTCAATGGGAAATTATTATCGCGAAGAAATCAAACAAGATTTTAATGTGTTTTAATTATTAGCCGTTAAACAAAGGAATGAAAGTCATCATTTCATGAATTCTGAGCATTCATGAATCAGCTAGTGGCAATTAGATTTTCATTGCATTCCTTTTAGATAATAATACATTTTAACTTTCGATATTGCGTATTTCAGCTAACGCCACATGTAATTCTTTCACTTACAGATTTCGGTTTCCTTGACAACGATCCTGGCATGACCGCCGAGGAACAGACTGCCAAGGTGAGTAGACATGCCTTGGAAATTCTGTACTCAGTACATAATTCTATGAGCGATTCTCCCCTAAAAAGTATTGGATGCGTGCCCCGACTCGGCAACAGGTAACGACGTTCGGTCGGAGTCCTAGGCGGTTCCTAATTCAAGGTCGCCACCAACTCAAAAATTTGAAGAAGCCCAACCAGAAGCTTATTTATATCAAGTGATCAAGAAGATCCAGGATAAGTATGTGCTGACTTTAGCGACTCCTGGGTAAGAGCCTTCACGTTACCAGATGCTTTCTATTTATCGATACTAATTGGTAAGTTGTGCAGAACTAATAAAATATAATATATTAAGTTGGCATCCTGGTAGAAGATGCGAGGAGGGGGAGGGTTCTCAATCGATTGGTTCAGCATCTATTAACGGTGTTGTAATTATATAACCTTTTATGTTGTGCAAACCGGTCAACATAGCGCCCGCAACTTGTCTCTTATGTTCCTCATGTTGCAGACTGGCCAACATATTGCCCGCAACTTGTCTCTAATGTTCCTCATGTTGCAGACTGGCCAACATATCGCCCGCAACGTGTCTCTTATGTTCCTCATGTTACAGACTGGCCAACATATCGCCCGCAACGTGTCTCTTATGTTCCTTCAGACTGGTCAACATATCGCCCGCAACTTGTCTCTTATGTTCCTCATGTTGCAGACTGGCCAACATATCGCCCGCAACTTGTCGGTGCTCAACTCCCCCGAAGTTCAGACCAGCCAGGTTCAGCGTAGGGAACGTGAGTCAAATAGTATAAGTGATGAGAAATTTTATTCATAAAACGAAGCGTGGTGAGTCGAAACGATTCTGACTAACGAGCAACCGATGATTATGACTTTCGATGCTTTCTGTGGAACGAATTTATTTCTATTCCATGGCTTGCAAACGGCACTTGCTCCTGTAGTTGACAATGTTTGTCTAATATGCATAGTCATATAATAGTCGGATGCGAGTAGAAATGCCAGCTTATAATTACACGACATGTCCTTAATTTATATCAAAATACGCGGCGTCAATCGCGTGACTCAAAGGAATAAAAAAATAATGTATACCTATTGCATCGTCTTCCTCCCACCTAATGGCAATAAATATTGCTTAATTAGAATTTTTTGCCAGGTGTAAAACATGCATCCCATCTTAACAAATATAATATCAAATATGAGTTATATAGGAATATATTTCCGAAAATTTTATGTCTAGACAATTGAAGTTGTTTGTTGTTCAGTATCTTGTCCTCATAAAAATTATCGATATTTTCCAGCTCACCAATGTTAGGGAAAATGTTTAGATTAAGATTTAGTCAATAATTAATCTTAAGTAATCATAATGAATTAGAAATCAGTTAATATTAATCTCATGTCTCCTGCAGTCGGTGAAGTTTTTCATCTCATCAATTTTCGGGAAAATTTTTTAGATTAAGATTTAGTCAATAATTAATCTTAAGTAATCATAATGAATTAGAAATTAGTTAATATTAATCTCATGTCTCCTGCAGTCGGTGAAGTTTTTCATCTAATCAATTTTCGGGAAAAATTTTTAGATAAAGATTTAGTTCATAATTAATCCCAAATAATCAGAACTTATTAGAAATTAGTTAATATTAATCTGATGTCTCCTGCAGTCGCTGATGTTTTATAGCTCACCGAAAAATGCTCAGCTTAGAACTTAGTTCATAATTAATATTAAATAATCATAATAAATTAACAATTAATTAATATTAATCTCACGTCTCCTTCAGTCGGAGACTTCCTTGTCTCGCTGAGCGTGAACTACACAACCCCCGGCGTGCGCACCCGTCAGTACCAGGTCGCCTTGACGGGCACCAACCAAACCAAACCCAACCCCACGGAACTGCAGCAGCTGGTCGTGCTCAACCTCATGGCTGTCGGCATCCCTGGCACCAACGGGGAGAGGAAGGTAGCGTCCAGAACAACCGGCAGATTGTTATTAATTTTGTTTACTTTACTAATGTTAACTGAGGCTAATTCTATATATGATGTTTTTAATAAAAAATCAATGATTATAATGATATTAAAGTCCCACCTGCTTAAACAAACACAAACACTTGCTCGCTGTAATCGATTCTTAAGTGCAGCGGATATTTGTCCTGCCTGTCGTCATATTATTTCCTCCCACTCGACGTCGTAATATTTTATCCCACCCGATGACACCATATTTCGGGTGAATTCCCCCCTCCCTAACCGATACCGTAATTACAATGGATCTCAACACCCCCCGCCCGCAGGGTAAAATTTGGTCCCACACGCCGATATGATATTTTCTACTATTTTACCCCCCCCCTTTCGGGTGAATTCCCCCCTCCCTAACCGATACCGTAATTACAATGGATCGCAACACCCCCGCCCCGCAGGTGTGCCTGGTCACGACGCTGAAGGAGAAGCGCCCGCCCTGCAAGCGCGACCAGTCCCCCGTCTACACCACCGCCGTCACAGACATCTACGCGGGTGCCCAGTGCAGCGACAGCGAGAAGATCGGTACTCTCAAGGTGAGAGATTTACTTAACATTCGTCTACATATGTCTATAGATTAATGTATCATTCACGAGGGTTGATGCACCAATGCCAAGGGTTACTATTTTGTTAAAGCAGCGACAGCGAGAACATCGGTACGCTCAAGGTGAGAGATTTTTGGACTTGCTTAACATTCGTCTACATATGTCTATAGAAGAAAAAATCAATGATCATTGACGAGGGTTTATATTACTGGCGTCAAGGTTTAATTTGTGGTATCAGACGGTAATTATTGTCAGTTGGTCTGTAGATAAGAACTATCAGACGATAACTATTGTTACCAGGTCTCTAGATAAGAATTATCAGGCGGTAACTATTGCTAACAGGTCAGTAGATAAGTATTCCATTGACGACGGTTGATAAAATTGTCGACATATTGAATGAGGTGCAGTTTGTGTGGCTGGAATTTTTTGCTTCGTATTTTTTATGCGTTTAAAAGATAAAGCGTGAATATGATTTATGAACAGTAAATATTTGGTACTTATGAAAGTACATTGTTTCTTAACTGTGAATGTTATGAAGGTCATGACTCACCTATAGTCTGTATACGAGTCAGTTTGACGGATATAAAAACTCTAATAACATATTTTATTCAGATATATCTAGCCACATTCATATGCAATAACGTAAATAAATTTTTAATGTCCGGCAGAGTGACCTCTTCCTGAGCGCGGACGAGAAGGACATAACGCCACCCCACCGCCTCAGCTCGACCGCCCCCTGCGCCGACCACATCACCGACCCAGCCTCGCAAACTCCATGGAACCAGGACGCCATATACGACCGTCTCAATTTCGAGCTCAAATATAACAAGGTGAGTGGTGAGTGGATGAGTGGTGAGTGGTGAGTGGTGAGAGGTGAGTGGTGAGTGGTGAGTGGATGAGGTGGTGAGTGGTAAGTTGTGAGAGGTGAGTGGTGAGTGGATGAGTGGATGTGGTGGTGAGTGGATGAGGTGGTGAGTGGATGAGGTGGTGAGTGATGAGTGGTGAGAGGTGAGTGGTGAGAGGTGAGTGGATGAAGTAGTGAGTGGATGAGGTGGTGAGTGGTGAGTGGTGAGAGGTGAGTGGTAAGTTGTGAGAGGTGAGTGGTGAGAGGTGAGTGGTGAGTAGTGAGTAGTGAGTGGATGTAAGTAGTGGATGGTGAACGGAGCTAATTAGTGGGTGATGAGTGGAAGTTATATAGTCAAGTAAGTGGAGGGTGAGTGGAGTTTGCTGGTGGTAGATGATTAGCTGGTGAAGAGTAAAGGTGATTAGAGGGTGATTAGTGGGGGTATGAATAGAGGCGGTTAGGGGCAATTACAATTCAACTGAGCAATAAAAATATAAATAATTATTAAAAATTTATCCAAACGAATTAGAGTGTTTTGTGTTCGCATTTCCTGTTGTATCTCAGTGACCGATCTCAGTGACCCTCAAAGTTATCTTAAAATTTGAAATTGATTTTAAATTATTATTATTATTATTAAACTATTATTATTATTAAATTTAGATTATTATATATTATACATATTTTACTCGCAGGAGATGCCGAGCTTCTACCGTAACCTGACGAACTGGGTGCAGGATGTGTCAGAAGGATACGTGTTCCCACACCTCGTCAAGAACCACGATGCCGGCAACAACAAACCCCCCAAGGACTCAGGCATTGTCAACGTCACCAGGCTAGTGCCGCGATTATACCGCAGGAGAATGACGATAACCCTCTAATAACGTTGAAGTAACGTTGGTTAAAAGTTAATTTCGTTGAAACAACGTTTAATCAACATCATTTTAACGTAAGATGCTAGTTGGGTATGAACATGAGGCCTCCAGGTAAATTTTAGGTCTTTTGTAAGAATTCACCAAAAGCGGAGCAAAATGGTCATTGTTTCATCACTCAATGAATAAAAATTTCGCAGCCGAGTGTGAATCATCAACTTTATAATTTATGATTCTTTGAAGAGTATCAAATTGGACACTCAGCTTAAGCATATCAGTGCACAACAATCAGCTAGCCGTAAAACATACTTTTTCGCTATTTGAAGCCACTGCCATGAACCAACGTCATGATAGGATCATCAGGATACCAATTCTCATTATTTGGTGGTACAGGAACGTCGCAAGTGGAGTGATCGACGCGTGGGTGCACACCTACTATGGAATCTCGGAGGTGCAGAACTTCGCGGTGTGGCCGGTGTTCGACTGGATGACACCCCTGTTAGGTGCACGCATTCCTTACAAGCACCACTTCGACTCCAAGTCCCCACGAGGCGTCCTTGCCCCCTTCAGTAGCGCGGCGCAGTGCACCGTTACCGCCGAACAGGTCTGTACGATTTACCGGTCATTGGTATTCAACAGGTGGGCATCATTTATTTATTCGTCGACTCGAACTCAAGTTCGGTGAGTTTTCACGACGAAAAAGTTTTACTCTTATGTGATCTGCATTACGGCAGATATTTTTTCCAACAGCATAAAAGACGTTACGTGGCATGGTGAATTAAGGTCTGAGGTGTCCAAGGGCCCGGAAAATTCTAATAACTCACAACTTGCTTTACCGTTGTCGACATTTATTCTCGTGTTATCTCTACAAACAATGCTCCTACATTGATATATAGATAGCAAATTTTAATCCCTCCTGGCAAATGACGTTGAAAAACGTTGATTGCAGGTTCATTCAACATTCGTCATCGGTTTTTCAACATCTGATGGGCAGCAATATCATTTCCCAGATTTATTCAAAATAAATGTATTAGCCTTACACTGAACTTTGCTTTCGCAGGTGTCCACCTTCGACGGCGTGCAGTACTCAAAGGAGCCCTGCACCTGCTGGACGGTGGCCGCCCAAGTCTACCACGAGGACGACGCCTTCACCGTCCTCGCCCGCCGCGCCTCGCACTCTGCCGACGCCCCCGCCCAAGTCAAGATCCTGGCGCCCGGCATCGCTAAGCTCGAGATGGAGGGCCAGACAGTCAAGGTAAGAACTCACCAGACGTCTTTGACTAAAATCTAGAACGGATTTCGAGCTGAAGTTTAATTTTAATTGATAAAAGAAGTAATTTATTTCATGCATTTTATTCATGTTTATTGGAATGAGGATGAAAAGAGCGCCTAATTAAGCAAATTAGTAAGGAGATGTAAGATTTAATGTATCACAAATTGGCAAAGAATAATTCTTCCTACAGCAAACATTGAACTCGTAGAAAAGCTGTTATCATCATATATTAAACTTGATGTAGCACTTTTTCCATCCTAGTATATAAATAAAATTAAAGCATATAAAATTATTATATAAAATTAATTAATATTAATTAAAATTAATAGAGTAAAGTCAATAAAACAAACTCTGTCTTCCAGATCAACGACCAGACAGTGAGCGTCCCCACGGCTATCAAGACCCCGTCAGGTCAAGTGGTGGGCAGCGTGAACGCCGTCGACAACGGCATTCAGGTGTCGGTGCCCGGCAAGTTCAAAGTGTCCCTCCAGGAGGAGTCGACCGTACAGATCTCCCTGCCCGAACGCTACCGCTCCAAGATGCAGGGCCTGTGCGGTGACTACAACGCCGACTCCTCCGAGGACCTCAAGAGCCCCGCCAAAGTGGTGTTCCCCACCAACAAGGGCCAGCTCTTCGCCGCGTCTTGGATTCCCCAGAAGGGGCAGTGCTCGGATAACGACATGCAGCCTCTCATCAAAAAAGTTAATGAGATCGAGAGCTCCGGTCATCGTTCCAGCTCGCGTCACTAAAGTCTTTACATTTGGTGAGGTGTTATGTAGTAGGATATTTCCATTAAAGGTTTTGAACTGCAGCGACTCAGATTAAACCCATTAGCGAACATCCGACATTTTTAATGAAAAAATTGAATTATATATATAAATAATTGATCTAGGCAAACGGTACAGTAAGACAAAATACTTTATTCTAATGTCTGTTGATGATGTGAAAGATTGCATAAAATGCTCAACGTTTTTGTTACCTAAATTTCCATCATTATAATTTGCATTATAATAATGAAATGATTTTCCCATTTAAAGAGAGAATGAGAGAGCGAGCAAGAAAGAGAGAAAGGTATCAAGAGAGATAGGATGATTCTGCACGCTGCACAACGCCATTCTTCACCACGGCAGTCAACTGCTGTCAACGCCCGCTCGTCGTCTGACTCACCAACACACACAACTATCCCATCACAACAGATATTTTTCCTAGTTCAACATAGTTTACATTACACCACATTCTTCCACGGTTATTAATTCACAAAAAAATTTAATGCTTTAAAATTTTTAACGCATCATCAATAGATACTTCTTGCATTATCTTAAGAAAACGCAAAATTTGTTGACTGACTTTTCAAAAGTGAGAAATTTTCTACACTTATTTTCACATATTCTGTTTTTGTCGCGCTGATTCACCTCTTAATCTAGACAATATGTGCCCCACTTCTCAAACAACAATAAAGATTGCGACCGCTTCCCCCTACTTTTCTCTTACTGCCCTTTGGTCACGGCCACGATACCGACTCATCTCATTGCCACAGCGTCATGTATGCGCTTCAAGTTCGAATAAAAAAATCAGAGGAAATCTGCAGCTTGGCATTGTGGCAACACCGCCGCCAGCGGCATGGCGGTTGCCCAACCCACTTACACTGGTATATGTTTTTGTGACGCTTATTTCATGCCATTTGCTGCAGTGGAAACTAATGCAGACGCGGTGTCAAACCTGACGATGAACTGAATAGAATTTCTGACAAATTGAACGTTATAGCAATTTTATTTGTTGCATACAATTTTTCATCTACAATTTTATTTCTGAGAAATCATGAAATTTTGGATGATAGTCCAAAATTCGATGACCATGCATAAGTGCGCCGAGCCTTTAAATTTTTATAGATCTTCTTAGCCCCATTATTATTATTATTATTATTATTATTATTGAAACAGCTCCACGTTAACAATATTGTTCCGGGGAAGTTCATATTTAAGTCGCAGTTAAACTGCAGGTTACCAGAAAAAAATGAGACAGAATACGACCGTCATAACAACATCAATTGAAGTATTCATACAAGTTACAATTATGATACAGAGATCAATCATGTTCTGGACCAACGATCTTCATTATGTACTGGACCAACAGTCCTGACAATAACTTCTTACGGGCAGCACCAAATTCAGTGACCAGCTTTTAACATTGAAAAATACTGCAATTTTTCAATGTTCAAATGAAAGGTCAGGATTGCTCTTCTCCGTCCCGGCGTAAAAGCTTCGTTAACCAATAACGGAAAGCATTAATGATTTTTTTAAGATTGAATGCCTGAATGAGCGCTGTACGTCCAGGCCTCTATATCTCAAATTATTCTTGGTGTAGCTGGAAACATGGAATTAGCGCACCAATTAAAGGACCTGCGATATAAAATCACCGTTGACTCCACAAGATAATATACTATATTGTGCTGAACATGGAAAGGGTAGCGTTTTGCACTCACCAGTTGAAGCCGATCCAATGATCGTTTTTAAATCTATTGAGCAGAATTAATTATTCAAATAGCTAAATTGCTAACAAATTTTGGGTTAAAAAAAATTGCCGTTTCCCAACGGCAAATGCGGTTCTAGTTTCCACAAACAACAGGCAAAAAAGGCAACGTAGAGTCCCGGCTTTTTTTCAGTTGAATAAGAAAGAATTAAAAAGAATATTTTCTAAAATTTTTTCACTGGCAAAAAATCGTTTTTGGCAACATACAATATTTAGCAGAGTTCGATTGATTTAGTTTTGTTTTATTCTTTATTCACACAGGAGCACACAAAAAATTCATTACAGAAGAACATCATCGAAAATTTGAAAAATGTAAAAGCTTTCTTGTGAATGCCTTGATAAGCTAAAAAACTTCAAAGGCGACGTAGGCGATATTACTCTCAACAGGACAACAACCCACAACGACAATGAGACAAGCCAACTGGGAACAGAAAGTGCCTAAAGAATAAAGCAAAGTTTGAGTATTATAGTAATATTGCTTTATGGGACCTTCTTTGTCCTAGCGAGAAATAGACGGTTTTTTTAAAGCTCCCTCACATCGCTAGTCGAGTTATCACACCTGTTACTCGGGTCGCTCGGTCTGCTTGCGCTATAAAAACAATCAATGATAAACTCCCCGCTTGTATGCGGTTTATCAGTCAATGATATACGACATACGAGCGTTCAGGAAAGTAGCAAAAACCTACGATTGCTCCGTCATTGCTGCTCCAATTCATGATTGTGGTTCTTGTGCTGCAACTTGAGCGATGAGCTAAGGACTTCTTACATCAAAAGAGTGGAGATTCCTAATTAACTATAGATATTACATGAGGTCAAATTCCATCGTGCAGTGAATGAGGCGGAGTTTTTAGCGTAAATAACTAATTACTTTATTGTACATATAACTAATTAATTTGATTGTAGCAAGGCTGTTGTGAAGCTGTCGGCAGATCGAGTAACTAAAGCGCCTCCTGAAAATTTCTCTAGCTATCAATTTTTTCCAATTCGACATTGCCCTGAAAAAAGCGACAAAAATATTTGAAAAGAGATCTCTAATATCGCGATGTAGAAAGAAAATATGCATGCTGAAACAGTGAACAATTAATTGACAGTCTGTATGAATGGCGGCTATCATATACTCGTATATTCCGGTCATTATGAATACCATCCATCTTTCTGGATCCCGCCCCCCACTCGAATCCTGTTCGTAATTCTGAAACTAAGGAACGCGTATTAGTGAAAGCCCCTCTCCAATTAGAGAAAGCCTCTCTTCAATTCGTATTTAGCATGAATATCCGATTTTGCTTTTTGTCCTTGAATTGTAACTGGAACTTTATTTCTAAATGCAAGAATAAATGGACACTTACCGACGAAATGTAAAATTTCAGATTTTAATCTAACTTCATGCCTCAATTTATCGATCTTGTCGATCATATGAACAGAAGATAAATTGTGTCACCAGGCAATATCCCGATACGACATGTATTCTGGATACGCGCAAGGCTTACAACACACAAGCTTTGAGAAAAATTAAGAAGACTAATCGGATGTTTATTTCAAGTGTTCGTAACCATTGACGAAGAACAGCTTGTTAATTTTTATTATGTTCTTACTTGACCCTTCCTTATTTGTAGAATTTTATTTAAATGCCAACGATTTTTATCAACAGCCAAAACTTCAAAAAATTCTATGAGACAAAAACAAATACGTTGCCTTTTACGATGCAATGAAAATTTTATCGAGATTTAAATTGAATAAAAAATTATTAAATGGCCACATAGTCTCTTTCAGATTTATTTAAATTGATTGAAGAATCATGCAATACTTGGCAATAGTGTGGCTGCATGGGCTGCTGATATAACGATATTAAAATGTCGCGTCACGCCCGACGGTGACATTTCCATACGAACCTGACCTCCGCTGCGACGGTCGCTCAACCGCCTCATGCGCGGCCGCACCAACAACAAAAATGCTGACTTGAGCCTCCACACAACCGTGCAAGTCAGGCTACTCGTACCCACTCTCACTTTCGCTGACGGGTAACCACTGCTGACCTCAGGTAGGCTAGTTCAGCGTCAGTCCCGTCCAGCGTCAGGCCGGTCCCGTGCGAGGCTGGGTCAGCGTCAGGCCGGTTTTGTACGAGTCTGGACCTGCGTCGGGCCGGTCCCGTGCGAGGCTGGGTCAGCGTCAGGCCGGTCTCGTGCGACGCTGGATTGGACCAGCGTCAGGCCGGTTTTGTACGAGTCTGGACCTGCGTCGGGCCGGTCCCGTGCGAGGCTGGACCAGTGTCAGGCCGGTCCCGTGCGGGGTTGGACCAGCGTCAGGCCGGTTTTGTACGAGTCTGGACCTGCGTCGGGCCGGTCCCGTGCGAGGCTGGACCAGCTTAGGGCCGGTCCAGAGCGAGGCTGGACCATCGTCAGGCCGCTCCAGCGTCAGGCCGGTCCCGTGCGACGCTGGACCAGCGTCAGGCCCGTCCCGTGTGGAGCTGGACCAGCGTCAGGCCGGTCCCGTGCGGGGTTGAACCAGCGTCAGGCCGGTTTTGTACGAGTCTGGACCTGCGTCGGGCCGGTCCCGTGCGAAGCTGGACCGGCCTCGGGCAGGTCCCGCACCAGAATTTCAGGAAAGACGTCAAGAGGCGGGACGCTGGCTGCTGAGGTCAGTGCGTGTCGACCTGAGGTCGCCTATATAAGGCAGAGCGCGACGACGCGCAGCTCAGTCTCCTTCACACCGCACTGTCATGATGAGCTCGGCCGCGAGGGTGAGTCAGGTAGTGGTGAATTGTTGTATAGATGTCAGTATTAAGTGAAATATTAATTATTTAAAATATATCATCGGCCTTTCAAAAATTTACTAGTCCAGATCACGCCTTTTGATTGCAAAAATTCATCAATTAAAAATATTCCCGAAAAATAATGGCGAAAATCCTCTAATTTAGAATTGAAAAAGCCATAACGCAAAAGCCTTCTGAGTATCTGGTGTGGAAACCTAGCGATGTATTTCTGAACCGAGCTGATGACGCCTGATTCGACGTTGCATTGTAACGACGTTACAATTGCATCAGTGCGACGTTATACCTCAACTAACAATATGCTGACATCAGAATATACATTCTGATGCTAGCAACTCATTTAATCGCACAATTATTCTCGATAATATTTACCACAATAAGTATCTTAACACGCTGAGTGCTGTATGACCCCCCGGTGGGTTCCATGGCCTTTTTACCTGGATAAATTCCGTGATTTATTTCTTTAAGATTGCGCTGGCCTGGTAAAATTTATGATGGCGGTACTTACTTATTAAAATTTAAAATGTACCGTACAGAAAAAAAATTAAAATTGTTATTTTTACACTGCAATCTACAAATTTTCTCGTAAATATAGAATTATTGGCCTTTTTTGTCCGCATACTTGGCCGTTTTTGGGCCATCTTAGAACCCTGGTAGGTTATATACCGCACTCAACGTGTTATAAGACAGCACATTTAATCGCAAATTAATCCCACGAAAACATTACATTAACCAATAAATTATCTTACTACTATCGCCGCAAAATCTGTAGAGGCGTCGCACAGACAAAGTAAGGCGACGTTTGACGAGCTCAGCACTGTAGAAGAATTAGCAGGATGAAGAAATTAAAACATAAAATTGGTGCAAAGTGAGAATTACGAAAGGAAAAAATTTGGGGGAATTTGCGCTACTCCCTACACCGAGTTGGCTAAAGAAGTGCATCTGACCGCAATTAAAGAAAAGTGACCTTTTCCGTCTACTTTGGCGGAAATATTCTTAAAAAAAAACAAAGTCATATATATTACTGTGAACTTGTATTCAAAATTTTGGAATTACAAAGTTCGTTAGCAAGCCACTTAATGTGAATGTTGTTAGCAAGATCATGCTAGAAAAGGTCACTTTGGCGCTTCAGGAAACAAACAAAAACCGATTGAAAATGAAATGCAATTCGGAAATGTTATTTTTCAAAATTCTCTGAATATTTTCAGCAGCACTTGGAGCTCTCGGTTCAACTAAATCTCGATAAGAGTGTAGTACATAGTTTTAATTTACTTATTTATTTATTAGTGTACAAGTGCGTTAAGTATACAGAAAATGAAAATACTCGGCGAAAGCATGCTGCTCTATATATAATACTTAGAGGTGCTAGATTCTGAACCACCTAAACTTACGTTGTGGCGAGCAACCGGCACAAGTTTGAAGATAAGATAACATGAGGATAAGATAACATGAAATAATTCCAAAACGCACTTGAATTTTGACTCGCTTCACATATTATCACTTGCGCTCGTAGTGCAATAATATATAATATATTATTGGATGACTTATTCCATTAACTAATGGTAATTACTTCTTTTGTATTAAATTCATTTGGAGAAATGATTCATAAATTTTATTAGTGAGTTCAGAATAATTTGTACCGACGGTAACGTGCAATGTAAGATGCAGAGCATTTTCTGACCAACTATTTGACTTATATTGTTGTTTATAATATTAAAATTTTGTTCATAATATTAGCAATATAGCTGCAGGAAGAAAGTTATGAGCATTAAATAATCTGAAAATATGCCAAAGCGGAAGCCTTTGAAAATTGTGACTGCTGACGAGAACAAAAGCAAGAGGCCAGCTAACCTGGATGCAAATAAATGGATATTTTAATAATAATCAACTAACGAGCTGGTTATTCTGCACGGTAAAATAAATGAAATTATGCATGCATTATTAAAAATTTTAGGAGAATTTACAATTTGCATAATAGAATTTCGCAATACCTTATTCGATCATAACTTTGGTTTAAACTAAAATTGTTTGCATTCATCATCTTCCTTGAATACATTTCAGAGAATGTATGTAAGATACGACGATAATTACCGTGAGCAGATTGGTGAGTGCTTACTGTAAAGTGCAGCATTTTATACATTTTGAGCAATTATCTCAAGAAAATTGTAATAATGAAGTGGCAAAAATATGACGCTTAGACCTCATTCTCGGGCATAAAATACCAGCTCCGTGCTGTGAATTATTGTGTTCAGAAGATATTTTCCATTATTTCGTCCCTCACATCTCCAGATTTCGAGATAAATCATTTGCATGTGTTTCAATAATAATTGACCGCGCAGATATTAGCAAAGTGGAGGCCTCAGAATCAAGCCGTGGCGCACGTGCAAGAAGTGACATGGGTTCCAGTTCGCTGTATTCGAACATATGAAAAAATGCCACTTAAAAATTAAATGTACCTTTCACCGAAATTATTTACATCTGGAAGCGATGAAGGTTACAAACGTGGCTGTGCACTCCTAAGCTCCTGCACCCTCTAGGCACTCAGAACCTCTAATTATCGGCGTCAATGCCAGAGCTCGGGAATGCCCATTTATTTTATGTTGCTGCCGCGGCCTTACGAACGCAAGTGCGTTTTTCTACGGTAGCTATTCTACCTAACGCTTCGTCGTATTTTACATCCTGTTTTGAGAGCAAGATAATTGCAGAGGTCTCACGAATATATTTATTTACGTCGGGAACTTTGTTCAATTGATTCCTTTCACATCGTGTTTGGCAGCCATGACGCCGCATTTGGTCTTGGTAAGATAATTATTCCCCGTACGTCGCGTAAGCAAAAAACAGCAGCAACCGAAAGCAAGGAAACGCAGGTCAGACCCTGCGATCGTCGCCTAAAATTATACCAAAAAAGTGCCAAGCGATTCCTGGCCGCGGAAGTGACTGCGCTGGACCGAGCAAGCGACTGCTTGATAAGCGAGTTTCTTATGATGGAGCGAAGCCTGCCTGGTTTTTTACGCCAAATTCTGATGAGTCAGCATGTTTAGATCGCCCTCACTTGTAAGAGGATTAGGTCATCGTTATATAAAGTGATTCTTATTAGCTTTATCGGTTAGTGAACAAGCTGATTTACAAGTATGCAAGCAAGAAGGTTTGGTCATATCCATATCATGCAATCTCAATTAATATTAACTTTTAGTGAGCGTGGTCTAAGGCTGCCAAGTCCGAAAAAAATGCTGAGATCATAGCATGGAATTCTGAGGTCATAGGAAGTCCATTTCTATTGAAGACGTTGTGGATTGCTCCAATAATCTGTTTATTATTTTTGTGACGTTTCCTTCCTCATCATGAATTTTGAATGAAAGTTGCATGTGCATTGTACTTTCGATCACATTTAATACATTATAACAAAGGCTTTAATGAGGTCCTGTTTCTACATACTTTAAAATATACAATATTTACAGTATATGCTGAATGTGTCTAAATAAATTGGACGATGACTTTTAAACAGGCTTCACATCAGTTTGAAGCGGCCGGATTTTTCTAAGCTGTTTTTTTAAGATTGAAGTTAGAGTTTGTTTTTAATTTTAAACGTTGTTATAAGACCAGAAAGGAAACGAATGAAACAAAAATTCATTATACCTACGTGACTTCGTGTCACATTGACAGTTATTAACGTAAAACTCTTCCAGAAAATCTTTCATTTAATTGATTTACCTTTATCTGTTTTAACCCTCACAGGTCTTCTGCAGCGTCGCGGCTCTAGCGCTGGTCACTGCAATGCCATATGATCCATCGGGATTTTCTATTGACCGCTCGATATTCCGAGACCAGCACAGCGGTTTTCTCTCATCGCCATCGCTTACATCCTTTGATTCAGGTTTTGTTCCCAGCTCTTTTAGCAATTTCTTCGGTTCGCAGAATATACTGACGACTCCACACGTTCTGCGATCATCAATTAGTGCAGAGTTCCCACTCCGCACTCTGGCTCGCTGTCCTAAAGGCCTTGCTAGGGATGCCGCTGGCAGATGTGTAGAGCCCATCGTGCGCAAAAATGTTTTCCTTTTCAAATCGCCTCAAGTAAAGGCACCTCAGCTGCCTCCCCCTGTAATTCCAAAACCAAAGATCCTCTTCAATTACGTTTATGTTAACTCCGGTAATGATGTCAGGAAGCCAAATCCTATCGTGGTGCCACCGCCTCAAGAGAAGACCTTGGTGTACGTATTGAGGAAGAGGCCTGAACCGATCAGACAAGAAGTTATTGAAGTTCCTCCTCAACCCGACTCTGACCCAGAAGTTTTCTTCATCAATTACAACGAAGGCCAAAATCAGCAGCTGCCAGGAGGTGTTGACCTGCAAACGGTGTTGGCTCAGTCTGCTGCTCAACAAACGGGTGGCGTCGAGATCGGAGGGAGCGGTTTGGGTTTGTTTGTTGATGGAGCTTCTACTGGACTTGCTGGTCAACTAAATCAGGTTGGATCACTTGCTGGATTGGAGTTCGATATCAGTCGCGAGTTTCAGGAAAGGAATTCTTTCAATGGCTTAGGCAGCTATGTCCCTCCATCAGCTAGAACTGTCCAGTTTACCCCTTCAGGCAGCTCCCAGGTACAAAGGTTGGAGCCAACGATCGCCTCAGAAGGCTCTGTTGTTGACTCCACTTCTACCTTACAGGATCAAGAAGCCAATGCTTCAAGCAATACCGAAGAGTCAGAACAGAAAAAATCTGATGAAGCTGAAGGAAACAATGAAAATCAAGAGGCTGAAGCCAACTCTGCTGTTGAAAATTCAGAAAAGATCCAGGAAAAAAGATCTCCAAGAGCCGATGCAAGGCCAACATCAACTTCTACGTCACTAGTCGTGAATAAGCAAGTGAGCCTCGAGACGCCGCCTAGCGGGGCCAAATCTTTTGTCTTCTCAGTGATGAAGAAGCCTGCAACAGGAGAAAAGGAGGCTGTGGTTGCGGACTTGGACACAAGTCCTTCAGAAAACAACGAAGCCATTTCCCGAGCGACCGACGATGTATCAGCGACCATCCCAGTCCTCACCTCAGAAGACGTCAAAGAACGATTGAAAACAGCAGCAGTAAACTGATGAACCGCGAGGCCGAGTTTATTAAGATATCAGTCAGCAATAATGTATTATTTAATCGTTTATTAATATTGTTTACGATTTTGCTCGACGGATATTTACTTGTCTGTTTATCATTTACTTACTTGTCTGTTAATCATGTTTTCATTTATTTTTCTGTGTATACTCTGTAAGTCATCGAAGTAATATAAGGAACCAAATAAAAGTCGAAATAACAATTGCGTTATTTTCTCCATATACTCGTCGTTTATTATCGATAAACTCTAGCTAAAAATATACCCAGCATCTTTTAGTTAGCTTAATCACAAATAACTTTCTATTACTGCAAACATTAAATGCAAACCTACCATATGAACAGCAGACCAATGCTTCAGATTCATATGTCACTTCCATGTAGGTCATGTAGACATTTCTACGTTAGTTGGTCTGCATGAAGCAGCAGACAATGTGCCACATAACGTACACATTCCTACGGTAGTTTGTCTGCATCAACATATGTACAATCATTACAAATGCTATCCTCAAAATCAGTACGGATAGCGTCGTTTGGTTCAACCTATAGAATCAGTGCAGAGCTGGATAAAGTTCTATGTTTTTCAATGAGCCTGAAAAGTTTGTTTCATCAGGTTACTCTTTATCAACCATGACTCTTTATTTCGTTTCGATGGAAAGATTTATGCGTACATCGACCACAAATCTTTCTCTATTTCATTTCATTTTTCATCATTTGGGCGTCAAATGTAATAAAATGTTTCTATCCACTAATTTATCAAAATATTTGATAAAATTCCATGAATAACAAAATGTAAGAAAATTCGTTGACCAGAAACATGTTATAACAGCAACACAAACGTAGAAAAAGTCTGGTCATTTCAATATAACAATTTTTATCAAATTTATAGATTGATATTAGCGTCATTCACTTATTTTCGAAATGTGAGGTGAAAGGAGATTTTAATACAAATATACAGGGTGGTTACAGTTCAGAGTATAAGGATTGGCGCAGAGAGACGCGGGTTCGATCCCAGCTCTGTGCGCCAGTTTCTGGTCAGAATCGGCGAGGAGGCCGGGCGGTTAAACAACAGAATTGTATAGCAGGGAGTTGCGAGTTCGAGACCGCAAAATGCTGTGAATGTTCTGCGATGTTAAGAATCAGCGACAGGCCTACGGCCTACTTAACGCTGAAACCGCTATTATTTTTATTATTAAATATTATCGGCTGAAAACAGATCCAATATTCGTTTTCTATCAGTTCCAAGAAAAATTTTTTATTTATGAGCGACTGCTTCATTTATCCAACGTGACCTATTCGCCGTTATGTGACATGTGAGTCATGGGAGTTATAGCCGGCTTTATGTTCGCTAAACATCTCACTATCATATCACTCATAGCATGTCTATCTTATATACTCTAGAATTGGATGACAAGCGTTTGGAAATAAGGAGTGACAAGGACTATTATTGAGATTTCTGTATGTTATTACGAAGCTTTTTAATGAAGCTCGTGATCGCCGGTCACTATGTATAATGCTAGCAATTTGGAAGCATTCTACTACGTATAGCTTAGATAGAACTTAGAAGCTCCATCTCTGTATTTTAGGACTAGGTTTAATAATACTAAAGACCTCTTTGACACGCAGCAAAAAAAAAACATCTGGATTTTATTCAAGTAAGTGGCTTGAATTTACACTTAAAATTTAAAATCTTGTATTCGCGAAGCCGAGAGGACGGTTGGCGCAATACCAAGAGTAAGAGCAATGCTAAATTGAATGTCTGGATCCGCATGAAGAGGAGTCAACCCGGCATATCATGTTAGACGGAGCAGTATTCGCTACCAGATAACACCAGGATTTCGGTTCATACTATTGAGAAGTGTTAATTTGTACAAATTTATACTAGAATTAATGGTAAAAATCATCATACAAACTAAAACAGTAAAGCCGAATAAGCTTTTAATAAACTAAATGTATACCTGAGTTTAAATCCAGTGAGCTAACGCACTGCCAGGGACAACAGCAACATGTCCAGGCGGCAACTTAGAATAGTGGAATACCACAATGAAATGAGAGGTAGACTGTGTAGGATTCTTTATAAATAACCGAGCTGCGGCAGAGTGCAGACTGCGGCCAGACAGAGGGATCACTGTCAGTGGAAGGACCGAGGCTGTTTATTGCCTTGCTAAAGGTGCTGAGAGGGGGGGGGAGTTCACCCTTGCGACACTGCAGAGACGACTGGACAAGTTTTTGAGAAATATTCCGGACCGCCCAATTACGGGAAACTACCCCCAGCAAGTGACAAACAACAGCATCTTGCATCAGTTGGCCCAAAGGAGGGCAAATAGACGGAACACGGCCAACGTTATATCCGGGATCAGAGGGCGGGGTGACCTGCCTAGCGACGACTCGGAGATGGAGGACGATGAAGCCGGAGCATCAGCGTGACCGAGGACGACGACGTCCTATACGTGTCTCAAGATCACAAGGAAGAATTAAATTTGAGGAAAAAATATCAAGGAGGAGGATGTTTTAGACGGATGTAAAGAAAGAATAGTTCAAGTTTGGTATATTATAGTTTGGTTAGTTTGGTATTTGGTATATATTACCAAGATAACCAAGGTATATTGAAATGAGGTTAAATTTAATAGCGATTTGGTGTAAATTATAAAATATAAAGCTTTAGCTACAGCCGTATCCACTTACAGTTCAACAATTGAAGTTGATGTTAAATAAATCGAGATAAGTGAAGTCTGTAGCATCGCCCATGATAATTAAGCGTAGATTTGAGCGAACTTTAAAAAACGATAGAAAATCGGGTACTAAAAACGAGAGAAAAACCAGGGATAGGTACCGGCGGTGGTACCTTATGGTGCAAACTTCTCATGTCCGGCTCGCGAGATTTTCTCATAAGAAGAGGGAGCATTTAAGCCGCCACTCAACGTAGACTCATCACGGCTGCATCAACATTTCAATCCTCTAGAGGTTATCAGTAAAATTTTCCATGCAGTTACACCGCGGCCTTCAGCTGATCAAGGTATCTCAAATTTAGTGCAAAAAATTGGTAATTACGTAAGGAAAAGCGTTAGTTCAAATAATTATATGTTTATGAATATTTAATGTTAAAAATTTGGTGTAAGGTTTTAGTTCACTTAGAATAGGTGCTGTAAGTGTAAGGTGTATCGGTGGTGAGTACGGTACACTTAGGATAGGTGACGTGCGAGTAAGGGGTTTCACTTTCGATATTCGTTCTAAATTCTTAGAATCCTTTCCTCGTGTTTCCAATTCATGCTGCCAAGTTACATGAGTTTTGTATAAGGTCTGTCTATTAATGTCTATTTGCAGTTTTTCAGTCATTTATTGGGTGCATGAGGCTCAAACTACTACACTTTCAGCACGAAAAAGTTAGCAATAGGAGTTATTCTCACGTTGCTAGCACAAGCTACAGTTGCTGCCACAGGGGCAAAACAATTATATATATGAATATATTTGAAAAAAATATTTCAATGATGTAAACAATATACTGTTATGTCATGATAATAACACCACGTGAAAAATTTTCCTAAAGACGACTAAAATCCCTATTTCATTCGTTTTGTAAATATTTAGTGAATTATATGAAATAAATTTATATTGATGAGAACATTTGTGTCATTTAAATTCATGCGCAAAAAGGATGGCAGCAACGTGGGCTCATGTATTAAAATTAAATGCAGGCAATATAGTGATACGTAGTGAGTAATAGGCACGTAACTGCATGTTAGTCATTCCAATTATGGTCTGTTTTTTTTTATCTACAATTATACGAGGCTCATGTTTAGAAACGTTTCAAGTCCTGCCTTCCGCCATCTCTACGAATTGACAAATTTAGGTAAGTGAAAAGCAAAATTTTGTAACTTAATTTACACGAGACTATTGCTCAAATTTGAATGCGATTTTTCTTTTTCGGTTCGAATAATGATCTTGGAGTGTAAGTGTAAAGTGTTTTGGTGGTAGGTAAGGTACACTTAGGATACGAAGGTGCCGTACGTGGTAAAATTGCCTCAATTTACAGTAAACATCTTCAAAAACAGACTAGACGAAGCTATGCAGGAGCATATGTTCAGTCTTAAAATGCCTAGCAAATTACGGACCACGCAATAAGTCCAGCAGCTATCTCAATCAATCGTCAGCTATGGAAAGATCGGGTTCCAAAGGCCGGATCCCTTGTGAATCAAGTCACGAAAAGTTCAAGAATCGGCAACAGGCCATGGGCCTATTTCTTCAGTGCCGACACTTCTATTCTATACGGAGTGAACGACGTATACGGAGTAAATCCATTTGTTAAACTTATGAAGATGCTAATCGGAGAGTGCCACTCACTTATTCGGCACAAATGCGCATGAAAATCTCAACGATTTTCTACAATTTTCATGCTCCATATCTCACATATGAGGTTATTAGGAAGAAATAATATCACAAACGCGATTAAACATGTAAAGCTTCCAGGCTGTAAATACTTTTTTTGTTCACTTTTATGCATCGTCCAAATGCCGCTTTCCTGTTTTAGAAGGCATCAGTAAATAATAATGATAGTATATAAAATTATTGGAGTTATTATGGCGGCAAACGATGGGAAATTTAGAAGAGGACAGTATCATTTTATGATAATATTGATCTCGAGCGGAATGGTGTGGCATTTTTCATACTTGTTCAATACAAATCTGTAATCGGTAATGCAATATTTTATCCACGACTACTACACAAAGAAACAGAACTAATTAGTCAATAATATTGTTTGAAAATAACAAATGGCTCCGTTTCTCGTTCTAATGCATCTGTCTCTCACGATGTAGGACAAATAATTATACAGACGACATTACTCACTTTGTACCGTGTCTTTCAATAAGCTTTTTCCTGTCACTAGCATTAGCCGGCTGCTGCCGTGTTTTGATTTTCTCGTTACAAATATTTTTAAAATTTATTTTTATCAATGCCGCAGTACAGGTTTTTTATAATTTATTATTATTATCACTATCTCGCCGCTATCAGGATTTTCTCTGATAAGATAAAGAAGCAGTAAATTCGAACTGTCACTTCCGCTGAATAAATTCGGCTGTTGCTTGCTATATATGAATTCTAATGAATTTATCGCCACGAACGTACCATCAGTTTTGCTGCAGCCGTCGACTGACCGCGGTGCCTCAAAATTTGTGCACAAATTTGTTACCACCAAGCTCAGAATGAGTGATTCTGATCAATAAATAAAGGTCCACATCTTTGATAATTAGTTACTAATTAAATAAATTTATTTATGATAGTTATTGCAAGCTACAGTTCAAGGTGTATCAAAATATTGTCGAGGAGATTTGCTGTATAATTGACACAATTTTGTTGCTTACCTTGTCCCAAATATGTGAGTTCAATGGCCTGAATTTTTCGGTCGTTGTGACCGTTAATTCTATTAAATATTTCACTTATTGATCTAAGAAATTTAGAATTTATTCGCACATCAATTTTCCGTGTTCTCTTTAGGTTTATTTATAACTAAGGCTCTTAATTTCTTCCTAATTCTATTATGAAAATAAAGATAACGATAAATTAATCAAGTTATTTGAGGAAACTAATTAGTTTCACATTAAGGAACTACTTACTTATTGAGTGGGAACTATGAAACTTACATACTCATTGAGTGGGAACTACGAAACTTACTTACTTTTTGAGTGGGAACTACTAAACGTACTCATTTATTTAGTAGGATACGAAAATTTCTTCCACAAGCTTACTTAATATTCTACTACTGAAAAAATCGACTTATTGAGTGGGAACTACGAAAAAATAACAAGATGAACTTTCTAATGTTTGTTGCTCTCACTTTACTTCCACCAACGTTTGCATCATCAACAATTCCAAGTTAGTTTACATCACTCTATCTTCGTATATCCTTCTCGGGTGACGGCAATAGATTGCTTGAAATAATGCATATTCTTCATACTTATTGTGCCATCTGGAGCATCGTGCGAACTATAGCTCATCAATATGTAGTATACCTAGAAAATTGAAGAAAAAATTAGGCAATTTATTGTCTACTATTAAGGCAAATTATTGTCTACTATTAAGGCAAATTATTGTCTACTATTAAGGCAAATTAAAGTGTCCGGATGAGTGTATGAGGAGAGAAGAGAAAATGAACTTTCTATAGAGAATTAGTACAGAACAACAAGCACTCAGGAGATACTTCGACAATTATTCATTCATGAATATAATTCATCCATTCATTCTCGTTAAGGTAACACGTTCCCACAACACGTAGCCCGTTATTTTCATTGATAACATTCGTTGCCGAAACACAAAAAAAGATGAACCGTGCTACGAATTAATCTGGTTTATTTTGGTTATACGTATGACAATATTGGAGAACTTCAAACATAAGCATTAAAACTGATTGTACACGTTATGACGCCGTCACGAGATTAGCTATGTTACGAAGATTGGTCGGAGCTTAGTTCATTTTTTTATGGTTCGTGCACAAGTAAGACCAACCGGCGATAAATCTTATCAATCATGCCTATGGCCGACATTTGACCAGAGGATACAGAGATTGAAAAAATTCCCTTTTTTTCTATCACTCACTTTCCTTTTTATTACAAAGTTCACGACCCGCGCTTCTACCGATTTCGTATGAGACTGGAACCACAGCTCGACCATGTACCAATTAACGGATGGCTCTTGGTCAAAGCAATGCACGTTGTCGAAATCAAAATATTAGATGAACACCGAGGAAAATTTCAAGATTTTTCTTTATAATTTAGGTGACAATACCAGGTCATTGATGTGCATCGTGTAGAAAACAAGAACAGAGTTTTCGTGATAGTTGTGGGCTCAATCTTTACGCCAGCTAGACACAAATCACTCTTGCTCATTTGTGGCTCGTGTCGTCCTTCAAACCCCTTTTCTCCCTTCCCCAAGGCTCAAGTCATACGCGAGTTTCTTAGTTAAAAGGTGTAATTCTTAAGTGTTGAATTCTCAAGTCTTGAGGCTTTCCTGAAATTACGTAAACAAATGGTTGAGATTGCCTATTAGTATTAAGAGAGTATCCTTCGTCTGTTGTTTGCAATAATGCCCACAAATTTTTTCTATGCCTCTAACTCAATTAATTATGCCTTCAACTCAATAGTTAAGTATCCATCTATAAAATACTTTAAGGCATATCTCACTTCCTTGTACAGGCCGTGTACCTTCGTCGAATTTACATTTTGTAGCCTCATATTCTTTGTGAATACCCGTTTATTACCAGCCGTCATGCAAAAATTAATTAATTAGAAGAACTGAGGTGCAAAATCCTTCTTGATTGAGTACTTTATACATAAAAAGATGGATTGAATTTCTCTTCCTCTTCAATTAAGTAGCAGTTTTAGTGTGAGCGTAAATATCCTTTATTTTCTCTCAAGACTCGTCAGGCTCACAAGCGTCAGCCACCCCGTCACCACAGAGCGAAGTCACCACAACCCAAGTCGAGCCGCGCTGGGTCGCTGGATACGGGACATTACTTCTCTTGTTTCTTATCTTGATATTACTATGGTCCAAAGTTCGCATTCCCGTGATTTCGAGGTTTACCAAGTAATTCACACACAAGTTGAATTCGAAGTCGATACGAGTTGAAGCCAAAGTCGAAGTGGGTCGACGACTCATGCATGATTCCAGTGAATCGGATAGTTTCACAAGTGACTGACTGACAAGCACTGCTGTCCCTTGGATACGACATCTATGATATTCCGGGCCCTTCTAAAACTACTCGTAATTTTCAGTCGGAAATTGATAACAGGGAGAATATTTGTACAGAATAACATCACATGCAATGACCTGAATAAGTACGAAGATCAGGTATCAATCCTCTACCGCCGTAGTCACTCTCCGAGAATATGACATTTTATTTTAAATTATACGTAAACTATTGACTGCAGAAACTTGAGGATGGTTGTCCGCTACAGAGAACAAGTTGTTGTACACAGCAGCAACCATCAATGCAAGGCATATTGTGCTCACTAGCATCATATCCTTTTAGGGAAGTAGGCTTGTGACCATATTGCTCCGGTTTGTCATCTTCAACTGTTTATGGACGAAAGCAATTATGGTAAGCTACAGTGCTGTTATTTTTTATATGCTTTTCTTGTGCATTAATGTCATGTTTGACATCTTTGGTTTCTCGTTCAAGTCTATAATGAATTTATTTTATACGGTTTAATTGTATGTCACTGTAGAGGGAACACCAGGCACTCCACTGTACTTATTGTCTGTCACTGATGGTGAACAACCGTCTTGAGATTGTATTGTACGACATTTATGAGAAACAATATGATATATGCCTATATTTTTGGACGAATTGATCATTTTTAAATGATAAAATATATAAAAGATATCAGTCCACCATAGTACATTATGCCTTCCTACAGCAGCAACAACAATTGAGTCTTACGCACCCCACGTTGATGACTGCGTTCCCACAGCACTGAAGGGTTGGTAATTGATTTGTAACCACATGCATTTATGATATTTTTGAAAAAAGCTTGAAACATAGATTTATCCTTTTTCATAGTCCACGAAAATAGTGTTCAGGGGACTCGTAGAATATACATCAGGGTGAACTGTTATGTAAATTTCGACGTACTTTGTAAATCCATTTGTTAAATTCATGAAGTTTTAATCAGCGAGTGCTTCTCGCTTAGTCGGTAAAAATGCGCATGAAAATTTCAATGATTTTAAACAATTCTATTTTCCGTATCTCACATTAGGTTATTAAGATGTAATAAAATCCCGAACGCAACGAAGTTCCAGTTAATAAATATTTTTCTTGTTGGCTTTTATTCATCGTCCAAGTTTCGTAGTTCTGTTTCAGAATGGATCAGTGAGTAATGATGACTGTATATAACTATATCGATAGATATAAAATCACTCGTCAGCCAAAGCCTATGAAAGTAAAATAGATTAATGAAGTTATTATGGCGGGAAACGATCAGAAATTTAAAAGAGAACAGTATCATTTTACGAAAACATTTATTATTCATTAATATCCAATCGTCCAGCTGGAGTGGCATCTTTCATACTTTTTTAATCCAAATCTGCTATCGGTAATGCAATATTTTATCCACGACTAATACACAAAGAAACAAAACTCAATAGTCAATAATATTGTCTGAAAATAACAACTGGCTTCGTTTCTCCCCTAACAAAATTTATCGTTCTCATGCATGCATCTGTCTCTCATGATATGGCTCTCATGATATAATTATACAGTCAATATTACTCACTTTGTACCGCGCATTTCAATAAACATTTTCTTATCATTAGCATAAGCCGGCTGCTGCCGAGATTCGATTTTCTACTAAGTATTTTTAAAATTTATTTTTTATCAGTGCTGGAGTTGCGGTTATCTCACTGCTCTCAGGATTTGCTCTGATAAGATAAAGAAGCAGTAAATTCAAACTATCACTTACCACTGACTATAAAATTCGGCTGCTGCTTCCTACCAATTCTAATGAATTTATCTCCTTCAGTTTGCTACAACCGTCGGCTGACCGCGGATCCTCAAAATTTGTGTAAAAATGTGTAACAATTAGGCAGAGAATGAGTGATTTTGATCAACAAATATAAGTTCATATTGCTGATAATTTCGTTTCAACGCCACTCTCATTGGAATTTTCCTAGTTATTGAAAGTTGTCATAAAGGTGTATCAAAATGATGTCGAAGAGATTCGCTGCATTATTGATACAATTTTGTTGCTTACCTTGTCCCAAAGATGTGAGTTTGATGGCCTGAATTTTTCGGTCGTTGTCATCGTTAATTGTAATCGCTCGAAGAAATTTAGTATTTATTCTCAGAACAATTCTTCTCCGTGTTCTATTTAGGCCTCTTTATAGAGAAGGCTCCTAATTTTCTCAATCATTTGATTCCGAAAAAAAAGAAAACGACAAATAAATCAAGTTTTTTTGCGTTTATGAATCGCCGAGCTGCGCGGAAATGCAAGATGTGATATTGAAGACTAATGCTGTCCTGGAAATAAATCAACTTTGATATTTGTGTCAAAAATAAGACGAAAGCTTAAATGTTGTTATAAATAGTACCAGGTCTTGTAACCTGCTAATAATCATGATGTGAAATCCTAAAAAAAACACCTGATTTTATTTTATTTACCGAGTCCATGGAAGGATTTTTGTGATTATCTCTTTATTTTTGAGCAGTTATTGGCATTATTGCCAATCATTAATTTGCCGAGAAATAAGGTTCACATACAGTATATACGCTATTCAGTAGGTATTCTATGTTGGAACTACATATGTACACTGCGCGTATGCACACTGTGCGTATCACATTTCCAGCTTCCATTGCAAATCTAGTTTGCGTACTGTAGCTTATTTTAGGATGAAATATAAAATATATTTCTTCTCTATTCTGCATAGTTCAGTTAGACCAAAAAGATACAAATAGTTATCTAAGCCTGAAACTTTTTGATCATGTATTAGTGATAGATTAAAACTATGCAAACATAGGTATGTAATGACATAGGTAAGTAGTTTCAAACATTCAAACACAATATATGTAGAGGTAAGTTTTGATGTCAATTTGCAGTTTTGATGTTGCAGTTTTGATGTTGCATCCATTCCACCAAATGTTTCAAAATATATAACTCAGTACTGACTGCAGTGAGTGCCAGATAGCTCATTTTCTCGTCGACGAAAACTGAAGTCACGGACAGACAGACAGATGGACGGACAGACGGACATGGCGATCGAGCACAATAGAGCCTTTTTTTCGTAAACAATACAATGAGCTAAAAACAGTTCGTGTAAGATTTATTCATTGCAGATAAAGCGTTTTTTCGACGAACAATCGAAATCATTGAAGATTTATTCCTTACTTATTCAGTGGGAACTACGAAACTTGCTTATTGAGTGGGAACCTCGAAACTTACTTATCGAGTGGGAACAACGAAACCTTTTACTTATTGAGTGGGAACTACGAAACACTAACAAGATCAGCGAGATGAACTTTCTAATGTTTGTTGCTCTCACTTTACTTCCACAAGCGTTTGCATCACCAAAAGTTCCAAGTAAGTTTACATCACTCTATCTTCGTATCTTTCTTGAGTGACGGCAATAGATTGCTTGAAACTATGCACATTTTTTATACTGATTATGCCATCGGGAGCATCATGCGAACTACAACAGCTCATCAATATGTAATTTATTTTGAAATTAAGGAAAAAATTAAGGTTAATATTGCCGCAAACATAATACTTCAACTTATTTCAATTAACAGAAATGAGCATCACACTGGAGGACGGGAGTTTTGTGGGTTCGAGCCTGGAAATGCCTCCAGAGCAAAGCCTGGCCCTCATTTGCACTGTTCATGGTGAAGTGTGTGGGATTAATGCAGAAAAATATGAGTAGCTGACATTAATGCTCATATTGCTGACATTAATTAACTATTTCTTTCAAAAAGTATGAAGCCACTAAGCATAAATTTTATGAATGAACTTCACGCAGTTTATTTTACGAACAAGTACGGGGATGAGATACCCTTAAAATCATAATTTGTGACGAAACAAGTTTATTTTCCCTTCATTAGCACGAGTTTCAATTAAGATTCCTTGCAGGTTATGAAAGTTCTCATAAGTTATTATGGTACGAAGAAGGGCGAGTTCTGAACCATCAGTCCACCATTGAAGGAGGCGCCTTCATGCAGCAGCAACAATTGAGTCTGACGAACCTCAGCGCTGACGACTGCGACCGCAAACTAACCTGCATTTATGGCGATGGAGATCAGGTTGAGGTTGCCAAAAGCACCACAATAAAGTGTCCGGGTGAGTGTATGAGGAGAGAAGAATAAATGAACTTTCTATAGAGAGTTTGTACAGAGCAACAAACACCTTAGGAGACACGACGAATTCGAATCATCCTGCAGGACCTTACGATCTCTTTAGGTAACACGAACCCACAACACGTAGCGCGTCATTTTCATTGACAACATTTACTGAAAATACACAAAAATTATGAACCGCGTTACGAATTGATTTGACTTTTTTTTTATTTGACAATATTAGATAATTCCAGTCATTAGCATTAAAATTTGAGGTACACGTTAGGGCGCAGTCAAGAGATTAGCTATGTTATGAAGATTGGCCGGATCTGAGTACATTTACCATTGTACGTGCTCAAGTAAGACCAACCGGCGATGAATCTTATCAATCATGAATATGACCGACATTTGACCAGCGAAAACAAAGAGAAAAGAATTTATTTTTTATAATCACTTTCTATCATGGCAATTCTCATGGCTTTCTTACAAAATTCACGACCCGGCCTTCTGCCGATTTAGTAAGTCACTGGAACTCTATAACTTGAACCATAACCCGAACATGTCCCAATTCACGGATGACTCTTGGTCAAAGCAATGCACGTCATTAGGGTGGATCCATGACTTCTTTACAAATAGAGTACAAGATGCCGTAATTGGAAGCTCGAAATCGAGAGAAGCGAGGGTGAAAAGCGAAGTGCCACAGGGCTTGGTGCTAGGACCGATCCTCTTCTTACTTACCCACGCATCTAAATCGTCATTTGCGGACGATACATGAGTGCTAATGAAGATCACAGAGTATCTAGACTGCGAGAGGCTACAGCTAGGAAGACTTGTCGACAATTTACGATTGGGCCCGAGTAATTAATATGCAATTCAACGGCACCAAGTTCGAAGTAATGAGATACAGAGTCCGCACAGAGATCGGGATGCCACATCGCTACTGGGCATCGGATGACACAGGAATTGAGGAGAAGCAACTTGTTCGAGATCTCTGAGTGTTGATGAGTGCCGAAGCCACGTTCGATGACCTCATCGAGGAGTGACCCAGTTGCTCGAGGCAGACAAAGGATGGGGAGGATCTGGCGGACATTTCGAACAAGAGAAGCAGCGCCAATGATTACACTCTTCGATCAGGGCCCTTGTGCTCCCCAATCTTGCATACTGCTGCCAGCTTTCTGTATGTGCCGCCCAAAGCGCTGCGGTGTGGAAACTGGCGGCAGTGCAGCGGACCTTCACGCAAAGGATCAGCGGCATGAGGGAGTTGGACCTGAACTACTGGGAACTAAAGGCTGAAACACCTGGGAGTGTATCCACCGGAGACGAGAAGAGAGAGGTATATCATACTATACTCTTGGAAGATGATAGCTGGACTGGCTCCCAACTTTCAAAGTGAGACCTGCAAAATTGTGACATATTACAACAAAAGGAGGGGGAGACTGTGCAGGATTCCCTCATTCAATAACCAAGCAGCGGCCAGAGGACAGACTCTTCATGAGGGATCACTGTCCGTGGTAGGACCAAGGCTGTTTAACGCCTTTCCAAAGGTGCTGAGAGGAGAGGAGTTTACCATTGCGACTTTCAAGAGACAACTGGACAAGTTTCTGAAGAAGATCCCGGATTGTCCAGTTATGGGAAACTACCCTCAGCAAGTGATAAGCAACAGCATCTTGTATCAACTGGCCCAAAGGAAGGCAAATAGACGGAACACGGCCAACGTTACGTCCGGGATCCGAGGGCGGGGTGACCTGCCAGCGACGACTCGGAGACGGAAGACGACGAAGGCGGAGTATCAGCTTGACCGTGGACTTAGAAGTCCTAAACTTATCATAAGATCATAAGATCATTGTCGTCATCAAAATATTCGGTAAACAGCCCGAATGAAATTTCAAGATTTTTGTTTATAATTAGGAAAGCAATGATTAACCAAGCAGGTCATTGATGTGTATTGTGTAGAAAATATGAACCGATTTTTTTGTAATAGTGAAGGTCATTATTTTATTCGCCAACGAATTTCAGGCAAGGGACTTAGCATCACATTGGAGAATGGGACTTCGGTGAACTCCATTGTAAACATTATTCCAGGACAAAGACTGAGCCTCATCTGCACAATCCATGGTGAGGTATAGTGAGGTGAAAAGCGGGTGGTGGTACATGTAAAGCAATAGACGATGATATAAATAGTCTGAAGCCCGTTGCTATCAGCCTATAAATGGTGGAAATATTATGGAACGACATGCATATTCGTTTTTCAACCTTAAAAATTGCGAAATTTAACGCCATCGTTCACTGGGATTTTACTTAATATACTCGTAATCTTAACATTAATTTCGTGCTTCAGGTTACGAGCTTGAACACGACTTGGTGTGGTACCAAGGAGGGCGAGTGTTAGGTAACCAGTCCACCACCCACAAAGACGCCTTCATGCAGCAGCAAGAACTGTTCTTTACGAAGCTCCATGCGCGAGACTGCGGCCGTGAAATGACCTGCATGAATGGCGGCAAAGATCAGCTCAAGATCATTCTCATGTGTCCAAGTAACTCGTGAATGTTTGAAATGAGAGTCATTTATGGAATTTTTAGGCAACTTCTAATGAACATTTTAACGTTGGGACTGAAATAGTTTGCTTGCAATTCGATCTAATGGCAGAGATTACTACTAGTGTACTGATATTAATACAAAATTCTTCGTCTGTTGTTCTCAATCATGAGCAAAACTTTGTTATATACATTTAATTTAATGCACTCATGGTAACTATCAAGATAGTTAGGTATCAATTTATAAAATAATTTCTGGCCTTTCTTACTTCATTGTACAGGCCGCGTACATTCCTCGAATTTACATTTTGTAGCATCATATTCTTCATGCTCCTCTACCCGTATATCACCAGCCTGCGTGCAAAAATTAATCAATTAAAAGAGCTAAGGTGCGAAAACCTTATTGATTATGTGATTATGTATTTTATACACGCAGAGATTAGTATAATTTCTTTTGCTATTCAATAGAGAAACATTTTTCGGGTGAGTGTAAATATCATTTATTTTCTCTCACGACTCGTCAGGCTCACAAGCGTCAGCCGCCCCGCCACCACAGAGCGAAGTCACCACAAGCCTTGTCGAGCCGCACAGGTTTCTAGGATACACGACATTTCTTGTCGTGTTTCTTATCTTGATGTTACTATGTGCCACACTGACTACTTTTAAAAGTTTAAGATCAGATCTAAAAGTTCGTATTACTAGGATTAGGAAGCATGCCATGTCATTCTGGCGCAATTTGAATTTTGGTACTCGTCGAAGTGGATCGACCGCTCTTGATCCCAGTGAATCAGAAGGTTTCATTGTATGACAAGATTGACAAGCAATGGCGCCAAAACTAGCTAACCGATACACCAACTATGATATTCCGGGCCCTTCTAAAACTACTTATAGTGTTCAGTCGGTAATTGGGAACAAGAAGAATATACGTACAGAATTACATCCCAATGACCTGAATAAGTACGAAGATCTGTGTATAAAAAATATCGCGCACACAATTGGGGTGCCTTCCTATAAAATATATTTATTCAAATATTGTCTGAGTTGAGATGTGAGCTAATAAGAACGAATAATAAAGGAACAAAGCGAGAAATTTCGTTCTCCGTGATCTTGTTGTCAGCTCGCTAAAGACAGAGAGATTATAACTCATGTCTATTTATCTTCCACGTGTCTATTTATCTTCCACGTGTCTATTCCTCTCCCTCGTGTTTATTAATCTTCCACGTGTCTATTTATCTTTCTCGTGTTTACATATCTTTGCTATTAAACTTGTATATGTAGCGTGCCCTCGAAGTTCGTTTGAACCAGACGCCACGATAACTGCTTCATAGAATTATAATAAAAGTAATAATAATAATAATAACAATAGTAATATATGTATATGATAATAATATTAGTTTCTCTTTGATTTCGTTGACTGCCACTACTTGATTGAGTTTTTTTATCTAATATTTTCCTGATCAATAGAAATTAATTTCATTAATTAAGAGCGTTTTATTGTAACTGATTTTAGTGATAAGCATTACGATAGAATCAACACACATGATAGTTGCTTCAAACAACTATCATGAGCGCTAACAACTAAGATGTAACAATGTTCTACAACCTCTCGAAGACTTGCTGCGGCATTTGCATCAGAATTCAACCGACTTCTACGGCTTATACGTACATTAATTTGCTTTTGTCAGCAAATCCCAAAGAATCCCGTATGAGATGACTAATTCGTGATCTCTTGGTTCACAAATACCTTATTATTTTATATGTTTCGGTAGGTTGTAACAGAGCGCGCTACTGTAATTAAAATACACAAGCACTGATTTTTATGTGAATATTTGTGATGCTGTAATTCCAAGAAAAACCCATTATTTCTATTTTTGGCTATTTGTTGCCCTCTACGGCTTGTTTCAGGTGGAAGTTTTATTGAATTGTAGATTTGCATTTGGAAGTTGCATTCTACGAATCGCATGAGAGAATACAGCGGAAGGCTACAATCCAGATATTATTTATACCATAAGTAATTTTTTTCAAAATTAGGGAAGATTTTGGAAAAAGCCCAGTTCGAATAAATTCAAGACAAATTTTATTTTTTTTTATCAAATTTCTCCATGGTTTTCTCGCAATGGATCGCGGCCGCGAACGGTACTTTCCAATCCTGTATACCAGCACAGTGCCTGTATTATTTTCAACACAGTAGGTACTATATATTCATATTCAAGTAAACTGTAGGTATATACAGAAATATATTAGCTGAGATTCTTCTACATACAGTATACCCGCATGAGAAGATTGATTGCCTTGTTCAGTACAATAGGCGAGGGAAACATTGCACTCCATACTGAGCTCAGACCGCAAGATGGCAAGTCCGCTCATAACAGATTAATTTCTCTATTGCCGCACTATAATCAGTTTAATAAAAAATGTATTTCTTCAGTGTTTTATTGTCTTTTATGTCTCTTACACTTTCCCCCAGAGAAATTCAGGATATTTGGAGCAAATAAATTTCCGTCATTGTTGAGCGCCAGTTCTGAAAGTCATTTTTTACCCCTAACGCCTTTTTCTATTAGATCTAATCTCCAATATTCAATGTTCCATCTGGCCTAAAGACTGACGCAATTGGAAAGTATTAAGTGAGTTATCTAATACATTACAAGGAAAATATTTATTTCCATCACAATTCTCTTTTTATCGTTTGTTATTGAAAGTGACTGAGATAGGAATGTCGAATCAACATTTGTTACAATCATTGTTTTCTGGTTGTAGCAATAAAATCTTTCGCAACGCAAAGGCCCAGGACAGAAAGTAACTAAATATTAAAAGAGTTGTTAGTCTCTGCTCCCAAATGCCATGGTAGCTGAAACGAACCCTTAATTAATTCACAACACATATCATTGACGAAGCATCTACTGTGGGTCCAAATGTCAATAAATGCATGGACCCAAATAATGACAAATGGATTCAACAAATTAATTATTGTAAGCTAATGTTAGCGAAACAGTTAACCGAAGTTTGTTCCTGCTCATAACGCAGTCTTCACTCTTTAGCCGGCAATCAAGAAAAGAACTAAATTCTAAGCTCACTCTCGTGATGTCTTGAAGGAGGAAAAAAAATGTTGTGTTCACCACAACAGAGATCAACACTTTGGTTCTCTATTGGTCATGACTGCTATTTGTGACAGGGTGGGATAATCATAATGGTGCTCCATCAGTGACGCTCTATTTCCTTGTGTTTGGATGTCTTCGTATTGGTTCGGAGGGCAAGGGAGAGGAAGAACAGGATAAGGAGGAGGATGTCCGGGGTATTGGGAAGTTCGAACAGGTGATCCAGAATGCGGAAGAGGTTGGCTTTCATATGGAAAAGGCTGAACAGGGTACGCCGGAGTACGTCCAATGTACGGAGAAGGGTGGCTAGTGTTTGGAATAATATAATCAGAGTGCGGTGGAGTACGTTCGGAGTACGTAGGAGGGTTATCGGGGTATGAAACTGACTGATCAAAGTACGGAAGAGACTGATCCAGCCCAACGCCAATCAAAGTCCTAGCACAAGGTTCTCTGGAGTCCAGAAGAGGAGAGCTCACACTGTCGTTCCGTACTGCATTTAAGGACAAATCGTCTGGACCTTCTTCTTGTGTGTTGACACGGTTATGGTTAATGGCGGGGGGTTTGGATCCAAGTGATCTACGTGTAATGAAAAGCCCCATGAAAACCAAAGCAACTAATGTAACAACAGTCAACATGAGTGCCAGTAAAATTATAGTAAGGAGCAAGCCGTGTTTCCCGAAGTACTTTATCAGTTCCGGGTATTTTTCAGATGAATCTGCGAAACAAACAATGATTGCTTATCATATTGAATTTTGAATACGAATTTTGGTAGGAACGCTTGGAAATGTTGATAGTGCGTAATAATTGTTGATAAATGAAAATTCAACATCGCTATTGACTTATTTTTAGTTATTTGCTATAAAATTTTCAGAATCGAAAATCTTGAGTCTTGTAACCTATAATGCCACCTCAATACCCACCAACATCACGAGACTGCGCAGAGGCTTCACTTTCCTCATCAGGAGTTTCATAACAATCAAAGAACACTGAAGATTCTACATCGGAAAACTCCTCGAGATTTTCAGATGACGGACCCTTCAGAAGAGCTTCGCTGGTCAAAATCACAGCTTCCATAGTTGGTGTTGATGGGACTGCAACTAAAATGACATGGGCAATGGAACTGTTGAATCAATAAATTGTAATATTTCTACTCAAGCCAATCTTTATTATTGTTTTTATCGTGAGGCCCGACATTCCAGAAGTTCTGAATTTATTATCACGCTATAAGCCTATAAAATTCATACCCTGAGTTTCTTGGTCCAAAAAATCAAGATTGGAAATTAAATGTATAATGTCGTTAGCGTCCTGCTTAAAGAGACAAACTAAGTACCTACCATTATCTGGAGGCTGAGCCAGAGCAAGATTGTCTTCCTCAGGTAAGTCTCGGCACACTGAGTATGATGATGTTGCGGCGTTTGCAAACGTCTTCTGGAGCACGTCACTAACTCGGTCTTTCAGTGCGTCATAATCTTTCCTCAGCTGATATTTGCACGTCAGTTCCACGTTGCAAAGGTTCTCAGTGATAAACAGCGATACATTTCCTATCGAGAGTACAGGCGAATCTTCCTGTCGGCGGATAAAGTTGAAAAAGTTAGCTGAACCTGTTGAACACACACGTGATTGCTAAGTATTCAACCTTGCAAAGAGTTTAGTGATCAAAATGAATATGAGTTTATCGATGTATATACGTATGTAAATTTATGAGGACAGTTCTAGATAGAAAAATCTCAATCTCCAGGCTAATACCGAGCTCAATGCCAAGGTTTGAACTGAGTACAAAAGGCAGAAAAAGCGGACTTGACCTGAATCCCTAATACATTACATAGCTTCATTGTTTCTGATTAGTGCACTATACTTGACATGCGAATATCTAGTTCAGACATTGTGTCTGATACTTAAATTTTCGCACAAGAAAAAATACCAGTTTTCTCAGTCATTAGTACCGGACACAAAAGTCTTCGGCTAAGAAAAAGTACCAGTCTCTTCAGTCGGTAGTACCTGACTCAAAAGTCGTCGGCCAAGAAAACGTACCAGTATTTTCAGACGACAGTACCTGGCACAGAAGTCCTCGGCTAAGCAAAAGTACCAGTCTCTTCAGCCGGCAGTACCTGGCACAGAAGTCTTCGGCTAAGAAAAACTACCTGTCTCTTCAGCCGACAATACCTGACAAGTCCTCGGCTAAGAAATAGTACAAGCCTCTTCAGACGACAGTACCTGACATAGAAGTCCTCGGCCAAGAAAAAGTACCAGCCTCTTCAGACGGCAGTACCTGGCACAGAAGTCTTCGGCAAAGAAAAACTACCAGCCTCTTCAGACAACAGTACCTGACATAGAAGTCCTCGGCTAAGAAAAACTACCGGCCTCTTCAGACGACAGTACCTGACATAGAAGTCCTCGGCTAAGAAAAACTACCTTTCTCTTCAGACGACAGTATCTGACATAGAAGTCCTCGGCTAAGAAAAACTACCTGTCTCTTCAGACGTCAGTACCTGACACAAGAGCCTCTGGTAGCCGCGGTACCAGCACAGCTGCAGGTGCTCCTCCAGGTCCTGGGCATCACACCGCAGCTCCACTGCCGTCGCCGCAGACGAAACCTCCGTCACGACCGGCGCCTGGAGCTCGCCTGCCCAGTGTATTAGGAAAGCATCGCTGGCGTTTAAACGGCAATCAATACGCGAAAGAGTTATGAGAGGAAGTACTTATAACGTGTTCGATTTCTGGTCCAGATCTGTACACATTCCGCATTTTAGATTTGAGGATAAATAACGTAAATTTTATAAATATAGAAGTGAAAACATGTCTTCACCTATCGATTGTTGCACGCAAAGTCGATGGACCGCTTACCATATTTTTGTTCATCTTTAATACACTTTCAATGTTACCGGTGAAACTTAGTTACCTATGTGAAGTTATTTTATTTTCCCGCCCTCCTAAAATCTTATATTTTTGACATCGTATTCACGGAAACGATACGACCGGGAACTTTCATAAGATTGTCGGCAGACAGACAAGCATTTTCCAAATTGAATTATACAGTTTGTTGGCGAATCTAATATCGATATAAAACTGAGTGATGAAGGCACGTGTCATTTAGAACACCAAAAATATACACATAAGGTTCCCCGAGTATATACGAGTACGAATATGCGAGTAGGAATAACGTATATTACTAGTAGGAGCGTATATTAAATGTAAGAATAACCTGTTTTACAAGTAAGAATAAGCAGGAATAACGTGCGTTACAATAGATATCGTGTTCACCTCCAACTCACCGACAACGCGCAGGACGACGGAGGTCGAGACGCTGTCATCGTCAGGAGGCTCAGCAGAACACGTCAGCCGGCGCAGATGGTCGGCAGAAGTGAGGTTGTCGAAGTGCATCACGGCCTTGCCCCAGCCGCCATACAGCTGGTGCAGAGCAGCATTGTCCACTTCACGTCTGTTCTCGTAGAACTTGGGTTGGCTTCCTGCAATTGGAAACATGCAAACTTTCTTATAATTTCACATAGTTTCCCCTGCCAACTTCAAAAAGTTTGACAGCTTTTTGCGACATTATGTTCACTGTTGAAGAGAGAACTCATGTAACCTATTATTTAATGCATGGTCTTCCTATGAATTGATCCGCGGTGTATATGAGGTTCATATACCCGTACGAACGTGGGAGTTACCCTGCGCGTAGCACTCGAGTACGAGGGGCACGTAGGACTCGAGTATCTTACCCTGCGCGTAGCACTCGAGTACGAGGGGCACGTAGGACTCGAGTATCTTACCCTGCGCGTAGCAATCGAGTACGAGGGGCACGTAGGACTCGAGTATCTTACCCTGCGCGTAGCAATCGAGTACGAGGGGCACGTAGGACTCGAGTATCTTACCCTGCGCGTAGCACTCGAGTACGAGGGGCACGTAGGACGGGTAGGCTGACAGCTGCCCCCCCGGGGTGTTTCTCTTCTGCAGGCTGCTGTAGATGTGAGGACCTGCGGGAGTTTGTTGGTATTAATGTTCATAAATTATCAATAAAACATCACGTTTATCAATTAAATGATCTCTTCTATCAAGGTTATAAAAAGAGTCCATTTTCCATACAACACAAAAAAATAGGAAGGATAAACTTACGTCTGATAAGGCGACTCATTAAGGATAATAAGACGACTCATTACAAAATAATTGTCTGATAAGGCGACTCATAACACTGATTAATTAACATTACAAATGCACACTGTTCGATTGTATCTGATATAAGAATGGCTGGAATAATTAAATGTAGAAAAGCAAACGCTTTGAAATAATTTCCCGTCCAATATTAGTTATTGGTTAACCTATCGTGTGAGTTGAGCTTATTTATTTTCCTAAATTTTTAATGAAACGCTACGTATCTCAATTAAGTGATCTCTTCCATTTAAGGTTATAAAAAGAGCCCATTTTCTAAAAAAAGCAAAAAAAATCCGCATATATCCACTTTATATTCATATAATTATAGCTATATAAAACAAGTGTATAGCAATATATTTATTATAATTTCAGATTAATGATTACATGTGTGCAATCCTTGTCTCTGAGAGAAAATATCCGAAAATTATTAATGAAATCTGAAACGAACTAAACAAACAAATTACAGAAATAGTGTACCGTCTTAATAATAATTAACGGTACCGAGGAATAGTGTACCGTTTTAATAATAATTAACGGTACCGAGGAATAGTGTACCGTTTTAATAATAATTAACGGTATCGAGAAATAGTGTACCGTTTTAATAATAATTAACGGTATCGAGGAATAGTGTACCGTTTAATAATAATTAACGGTATCGAGAAATAGTGTACCGTTTTAATAATAATTAATGGTATCGAGAAATAGTGTACCGTTTTAATAATAATTAACGGTACCGAGGAATAGTGTACCGTTTACGTGGATCTCCGCCGTGGACATTGACGCGTTTGTCGCCACCATCATGGCGACTGTCAGCCACGAGGCTAATTGTAGTGGAGGTTTGAGCATGGCTAGGTGGTCAAGTACGATGTGTTATTTACTCGTAACTTATATTAATTACATCTAATTGAATGCAAACGCGTCCATTGACTCAGAGCCTATCACTAAATTAAATACTCCGTGACTCTAGAAATTGACTATTGGTTTCTTCTGCTCAGAGATTCTAATTTGAGTTCTGTGCATGCATGCTATGTGAATGCTACATAAACCTTTGCATACTACACAAGCNCAGTCTTGAAAAGTTCTGTGGATGCTACACGAGCCAAGTAACAGTCTTGAAAAGTTCTGAGCATGCTACACGAGCCAAGTAACAATCTTGAAAACTTATGTGCATGCTACACGAGCTAAGTAACAGTCTGAAAAGTTTTTTGTGCATGCTACACGAGCCAAGTAACAGTCTGAAAAGTTTTGTGCATGCTACACGAGCTAAGTAACAGTCTGAAAAATAAATTCTATATAGGCGTATGGTTAATAATGGTTAATATAATGTTAAGCAGTATTGTACCGCAATAACATCCACCAAATTCTCGCCAGGGGTAACTGCTGGCTCTATGTCGTCTGTGTACTTAAAACAATGAATTTAGTATCATGAAGTTATTCTATAAAACATTCTCCGCTGTACAAAAGCATGTCTCAAAAAATAATAATTCATCAATTATATTAGGATTGACGGTTCTTCTGAAATTAATTGACTGAAATCCTTGTGTCCACGAAATATTAAGTTCCGTTAGTTTTGTAAGAGCTGTGAACTAATGCCTAACTGAGCGGTGTCTTCTCTAAATTCTGATCCATAGTAGATATGGGATTTTACAGTTTGGCATAACATAAATTATCAAGGTTTGCAAATATTGCTTGAAATTCCTGGGAGTTTTGAGAATATTATCATTGCTACTAAATTTCTGAACAGCCTGTGAATTATTATAAGGAAAATTTGAAGCTCATGTGATTATAATAATGAATAATATATTCATGTGAGCTTCACTGTTCAAGTGAACCCAGCTTTGCCCATGTGAATAATCGCTGAGATTAGGAAATTCAGGTAATCATTTTAATTAACAAGGCATCCCGCCCTTTGTTATATGTTAGTATATCAAAAAGCCATGGATCAGCTGTTCTCGGTGACCAGGGGCCATACTTTCAAAACTCGTTAAGTGAACGTAAGTACTTACGCTCTATTTTCTTGTCTATGATTGGTGAATTTTGCTTGAAAGGCCATCAGTGATTGGCTGATGAACTTACGATATCTTAACTTTTTTTGAAAGTATGGGCCCAGTTAATCACAAGGAAGTCAAAATAGGCACCTTAGTATGAGCCTCAGCTTATGTCTCGTTCTAATTTCAGCGGCAGTAGGGTTCACTGGCTACCTCAACAAGTCACACAGTCTCTCTTTTTCTCAAATATTTATTAATTGTAAATTGCATGTTCATACCGAACGTTTAATAATAAATCAGTTTGTAACTACTTTTGTATGCAGTGTGTAAATCTTGTGAAATGCTAATTTTAAAAAAACTGTTTCAATATAACTAAGTCTTCAATAATTATTGCTGAACATCTCGAGTGTCAAGGCAAATACCTTACACCATCGCTTCATTCACTTACATTTCATCCATGATTATAAAGAGAGCTATACCTCATTTAGCTGGAAAGCTCACCCGCGCACATTCAAAAACATTTTAAGATTCAACTATTAAATTCATTCAGTCTAAACAAGCAATTAGTGATATCCGTTTCCTTCATTTATACTGTGGAGTAAGGGGAAATCTGACTTAAAGATTTTCTCCGTTGTTTGGTATCAGTATTCGGGTTCTTCAGTGCTTGGGAGCAATAGTTTTGAGATGCGTCCCAATACTTCATTACCTTGAGCTTAGATGTTCAGTCTGACTGTCGGTTATACTGTAGGAACACAGGTTAACTACAGGTTAACGTCTACAGGTTAACACAGGTAGGAACACAGGTTAACTACAGGTTAACGTCTACAGGTACGTCTACAGGTTAACTTAAATTCGTAAAGTAAACGATTATTTATGTCGTTAAAGAGTGTGTGCTGCCTAACACTCCTTACATTTCTACTATAGCCTAGCATTACACTAGCCCGTCTTATAACGGAGGTCCACGCTATCTGCATTGCACAGATTACAAGATAGTAATTTTATCTTGTTTATTAACTGGCCATAATTCTAAAATTTAACAGATTAGAGCTCTAGGAATCGTAGTTTCTATCTTTTTCAGAAGCTGCCGAAGCTTGTGAATCAAATAATTAGGATTAAATTTAGTTTATATAGCTTCTATAGTTGTGTACTTTTAGATTGACGTGCCGCTAGGTTATAAGTGTTGTGTCTGCTGTTTGAAAATGTTGTTACCAATAACTGAATGTTTGGGAGATAAGTTAATATGTTCAATAACTACCTTTTGCTTTATTTCGTTGTCATTGCAACAACTACTGCGAATGCTAGCCACAGTATATTGACGGTAGAGTTAGTCAGTATAGTAATTAGAGTCTGTCCATGATCAAATTTCGTGCTGTGTTCCGTTGATATTCCAATGAACTCTTCCATGAGATTTATTTTAATTAAATAAGTTCATGGGAATTTTTTTGCCAAGTAAATTCACTATATCTTTCTTGAAAAATTTTCGTAGACAATCATTTCAATATGAAATAAGAGAAAAATCAACAGAAAGACAAAATTTTGAAGAGATTCATGCTTTAATATATACTTACCAATGAACGAAGTAACATTAAAGCCATTTTTATCAGCAGTTTAAAGAGGATGAGAATAGTCATGCTAAGCAAAACGCTTAAAAATAAATACGTGTGATTGTGTTGCATTTCATTTTTGGGGATCAAGGCTCTTGGATTTGAGCGATAAGATTCTGAAGCTTAACCTTAAGCTTTATTACTAAGTTCCTTGAAAAAAATCATTTGAGTGACCAAGACGATTCGTATGCAGTTGTGCTCTAGCAGCCACACAAAACTTCGTGAGCTTCATACGTAGTGTTGTGCTCGCTGTGCTGGCCTCAGCTAGTGCCTTATCAATTCCAAGTGAGCTTTTTAGCATTCATTGTCCATTTCAGTCAATGGGTGAAGGATAGTAAATGTGAAGTAGAGTTTTCCATTATAATAAGGGTATTTTGAATGGGTGAAGAATCGTAAATGTGAAGTTTTTCAATATACTAAGGGTATTTTGAAGGCCTTAAAACATTCATTTCAAACTTTAGCTCTTATTTTGACAAATACGGTCATTTTTTAATCTGATTAATATATAATAATGATTGCGACGATCCTTACACAGGAATGAGCATCACGTTAGAAGCTGGGGGCCAGGCCGGTCCCAACGTAGACATAACTCCTGGTCAGAACCTGACGCTCGTCTGCTCCGTGCACGGTGAGGTGCAATAAAATACTTTGTTTTGTAGTGAGTGTATAAGCAGAATTTTACGAGTAGATGAAAATTCTTCATTAGCTATTCTATGTACCGATATAAATTAAAAATTTGAAATTCAATTCCTAGTTGGCTGCAGAGTCGTCGTCGGCATCCGTCCGTCTCGAGAGACGATGGGTTAGCTATCGGTCCCGCCTGCATCGCCGAGTGTGGAT